CAAAGTATTAATGTTAGGCATGTGTTAATTGCAGTATTTGTTCCTGTAGCTCTGCATTCGTTATCTTCGTCTGTTCCAGTCTTTAATGGGTTAAATTTTCCTAACTGGAGTGAACAAGTCCAATTTCACTTAGGTGTGTTGGATCTTGATTTGACTTTCCAAGTTGAAAAACCGGTTGTCATCACTGATGCTAGTAGTAATGAAGAGAAAACTCATTATAGAGTTTGGGAAAGATCAAACAGACTTAGCCTTATGTTTATGCGAATGAGTATAATAAGCAATATTAAGTTTGCTCTTCCCAAAATTGAGGATGCGAAAGAGTTTATGAAATTTGTGGAAGAGCGCTCTCAAATTGACGACAAATCCCTCGCTGGGACATTGATGAGTACATTGACTACCATGAAGTTTGATGGTTCTTGTAGTATGCATGAACACGTAATCGAAATGATAAATATCACAGCAAGACTCAAGTCTCTTGGAATGGCAGTGGAAGAAAATTTTCTTGTGCAATTCATTTTGAACTCGTTAGCACCTGAGTATGATCCGTTTCAGATGAACTATAACACCATGAAAGACAAATGGAATATGCATGAATTGCACAGTATGCTAGTCCAGGAGGAGACCAGACTCAAGAACCTAGGAAGACACTCTATTCATTACGCGAAAAATCAAGGAGCTAAAAAGAAAGTTGTTAAGAAACATGGAAAGGGTAAATGACCATTAAAGATTAACGAGTCCTCTACTAACATTCAGAAGAAAAATGACAAATGTCATTTTTGTGGGAAGTCTAGACATTTTCAGAAGGACTGCTTAAAGCGTAAAGCTTGGTTCGAAAAGAAAGGTGGACATAGTGCTTACGTATGTTTTGAATCAAATTTAACTGAAGTTCCCCATAATACTTGGTGGATTGATTCTGGATGTACGACTCATGTTTTTAATGTGATGCATGGATTACTTTCAACCCGAACCATAAACCCAAATGAGAAGTTCGTCTTCATGGGGAATAAAGTCAAGGTTCCAGTGGAAGCTGTCGGGACTTATCGTTTAATCCTTGACACTGGATATCACTTAGACCTTATGGATACATTTTATGTACCTAGTATCACTAGAAATTTAGTTTCTTTGTCTAAGCTTGATGTTGCTGGATACTCTTTTAAGTTTGGGAATAGTTGTTTCAGTTTATTTAAGCGTACATGTATGATTGGAACTGGTATACTTTATGATGGTTTATATAAATTGAATTTGGATAATTTATATGCTGAAACTCTCATGACCTTGCATCATAATGTTGGCACTAAACGTAGTTTGGTGGATGAAAGATATGCTTATTTGTGGCATAAGCGTTTGAGACATATTTCCAAAGAAAGAATGCAAAGGTTAGTAAAGAATGAAATCCTTCTGGATTTAGATTTTACTAATCTGAATGTATGTGTGGATTGTATTAAAGGCAAACAAACAAAACACACAAAGAAAGGAACCACAAGAAGCACTCAACTTCTTGAAATCATACACACTGATATATGTGGTCCATTTGACGTAAATTCTTTTAATAAAGAGAAGTATTTCATTACTTTCATTGACGATTTCTCGCGTTATGGATATGTCTATTTACTATATGAGAAATCTCAAGCAATAAATGCCTTAGAAAGTTATATGAACGAAGTGGAGAGGCAATTAGACAAAAAGGTGAAAATTGTCAGGTCAGATAGAGGTGGTGAGTATTATGGAAGATATGATGAAAGTGGACAACACCCTGGTCCGTTTGCTAAGTTCCTTGAGAAGCATGGAATTTGTGCTCAATACACAATGTCAGACACACCACAACAAAATGGTGTGTCTGAAAGGCGTAATTGAACCTTAATGGATATGGTTAGGAGTATGTTAAGTAATTCATGTTTACCTATATCGTTGTGGATGTATGCTTTGAACACTGTCATGTATTTGTTGAATAGGGTTCCCAGTAAAGCGGTTCAAAAGACTCCTTTTGAGTTATGGACAAGTAGGAAACCCAGTTTAAGACACCTACATGTTTGGGGTTGTCAGACAGAAGTAAGAATTTATAATTCACAAGAAAAGAAACTGGATGCAAGAACAATCAGTGGATATTTCATTGGTTATCCAGAAAAATCAAAAGGGTATATATTTTACTGTCCTACCCATAGTACAAGAATTGTTGAAACTGGAAATGCTCAGCTCATTGAAAATGGTGAAACCAGTGGGAGTGAAGCTTCACGAAATGTGGAGATTAAGGAAGTTAGAGTACAAGTTCCAATAACTAGTACATCTTCAAGAGTTGTTGTTCCAAATGTTGTAGAATCACACGATAATCAAGAAGAACAACAAATTAATGATCCTGAGATTAACAATGATCCGATAATAGAACAACCACAGGAAATAGTATTAAGAAGATCTCACAAAGAAAGAAAGTCTGCTATTTCGAATGATTACGTGATTTATCTACAAGAGTCAGAAAATGACCTAAGTATTGATAATGACCCAGTTTCATTTTCAGATGCCATTAATGGTAATAATTCTGATAAATTGTTAGATGCTATGAAAGATGAGCTTAAATCAATGACACATAATTGTGTATGGGATCTTGTGGAATTGCTAGAAGGATGTAAGAGTGTTGGGTGTAAATGGGTCTTTAAGACTAAGCGTAACTCTCATGGCAATATCGAATGTTACAAGGTCCGACTTGTTGCCAAAGGTTTTACTCAGAAAGACGGCATTGATTATAAGGAAACATTTTCACCTGTTTCTAAGAAAGATTCCTTTAGAATTATCATGGCATTAGTAGCTCATTATGATCTTGAGTTGCATCAAATGGATGTTAAAACTGCTTTTCTGAATGGAGATTTAGAGGAGGATGTTTATATGAATCAACCAGTGGGGTTTATTGAAGAAGGAAAGGAACATATGGTGTGTAAACTTAAGAAATCAATATATGGACTTAAACAAGCTTCTCGACAATGGTATCTTAAGTTCAATGTTATTATTTTGTCCTTTGGATTTAAGGAAAACACTGTTGATCGGTGTATATATCTGAAGGTCAGTGGGAGTAAGTTTATATTTCTGATTTTGTATGTTGATGACATCTTGCTTGCGACTAATGATCTTGGTCTATTAAGTGAGACTAAGAAGTTTCTCTCTAACAACTTTGAAATGAAAGATATGGGTGAGGCATACTATGTGATAGAAATAGAAATATTTCGTGATAGATCACAAGGACTGTTAGGTTTGTCTCAGAAAGCATATATTAATAAAGTTTTAGAGAGATTCAGAATGGAGAATTGTTCAGCATCTCTCGTTCCAATACAGAAAGGAGACAAATTTAGTCTCATGCAATGTCCAAAGAATGACTTGGAACGGAAACAGATGGAAAATATCCCTTATGCATATGTTGTTGGGAGTTTGATGTATGCTCAAACATGTACGAGGTCAGATATTAGCTTTGCAGTTGGTATGCTTGGTAGATACCAGAGTAATCCTGGACTGGATCATTGGAAGGCTGCAAAGAAAGTTTTAAGATACTTACAAGGAATAAAGAATCACATGCTTACTTATGGGAAAGTTGATCACCTTGAGGTGATTAGATATACAGATTCAGATTTTGCTGGTTGTATGGATACACGAAAGTCTACATTTGGTTATGTGTATCTTTTAGCCGGAGGAGCGATTTCATGGAAAAGTGTGAAGTAGTCTATCATTGTTGCATCCACCATGGAAGATGAATTTGTGGCATGCTTTGAGACCATAGTTCAAGCTAATTGGTTACGGAATTTTATTTCAGGACTTGGAGTAGTCGACAGCATTGTCAAGCCGCTGAAAATTTATTGTGACAATTCCGCAACAGTCTTCTTTTCTAAGAATGACAAGTATTCCAAAGGTGCTAAGCATATGGAATTGAAATACTTTGTCGTTAAAGAAGAAGTTCAGAAACAAAGAGTGTCAATAGAACATATTAGTACTGATCATATGATTGCTGATCCTTTAACAAAGGGATTACCACCCAAGTTGTTTGCTGACCATATAGTAAATATGAGCATTATGTTTACTAGTAGTGAATGTTGAATGTTAATGTTATTATTAATGTTTATGTGACACTCTGAGATCTTTAATGTATAAGTTTCTGAAATTTGTATTTTCTTTTTTATTTATATGCATGCAAATTATGATGAAGAAAACAAATTATGTTATTATTTTTAAAATGATATTATGTTTGAACCCATTATGGACTTCTCATTATAAAGTCATATTAAGGAGAAAGAGATAATATAGTGGTACATGGAAGGAAGTCTGTCGATTTAATGACATGTAACCGCCATGACTCTTGTTATAGCTGTATCTTTAATTATGAATAATGATAGAACCAATTTATGTAAGGTCCTTTAATGCGCATTATGACTTAAGTATTAAATCAAAGAATCGTATGACATCACATGAGTCAAGTAGGAGAATGTTAGTCTTCTTATTATAATTCATGTATTTATGTATGTTAAATTGTGAAAATCAATAATCTAAATATCTATAAAGTAGGAAAACTATTTAAAAGTTTACATACATGTCCAATTTAACACATTTTAGTGTTTTCTAAACCTACGTTCTTCTCACTTTAATAAACAATACTATTAAAATGTTATCCAATGGCTGAGAAAACGAGGGATAAGACAAAGAAGGCTCATCGTCTTTACACCAAAAAAATTTATATATGCAAAAACAAACGAGGAACAAATAATCAGTTCCACGATTCTGAACATTTATCGAGCTATTGACCAGTTTGTGATTCACTAAGTAAGAGGGACATTTTATTTTGTACCCATAATCGGTTACTTTGTGCCCCGATTCCATAATCAGCTTCTGAACATTGATCGAGCTATTGGGCAGTTCCATAATAAGTTACTTAGTGCCCAGATTCAGGAAGCTATTACACAAGTGGGACGGGCCTAGGTACGCAACAAGGGCATGGCGCAAGGCAACGGCGGGGGGCGGGCGACGCAATGCAAGACGATAGCGGAGGCACGATGGAAGACAACGACGGGGCGACACCATGCAAGATGAGACGTGACAACTTAGGGCAGCGGACCCACGACAGTAGAAGCGTAAGAAGGCCAACAGAGACAATAGTGGGGGACAGCAGAGCCGCGATGCAATCCAACGGATTTGAGACCCAACTTCCTTTTTGCTTCTTCGCGATTTTTGCTTGTTCTAATTTTTCAATTTTTGTTATAATAAAATTTTCCAAGTCGATAAAAAAAAATTTGGATAAAATATAACACGTAGCGGGTGTCTTGCCGATGGACTCTCTATTAATATTCAACACGGGTATAACAACAGGGATGTGTTCCCATCTATGAAGAAAAGCACAAGAGTAAAGTCAAATCATGAATGTCTCGCATGGAACCTGCTAATTTGCTTATTGACACGTTCAAAAGTTGACCATTATTAGGGAAAGAAACACATAATGCTTGATTACAAATTATAACACGTCAATGACCCTACACATTACTAAGTAAATTTGCATAATAAATATTTGCAATATGAATAATTATTTTCATAGGAAAATAATTATCATATGAAGCAACACATGTTTTATTTCTTTAGATAATTATTCTGTATTAGAATATATATATATATATATATATATATATATATATATATATATATATATAGTTGAAACCTTGTTACGAGAGTAAAAAACGTAATACCTAAACTGTTATAGATATATAAAAAAGATAAAAATGAAGTAGAAGAATCAGAGTTTATAAAACAGAAACTTAATATCCACAGCAAAACTTAAAACTTGTTCTCTACAGTGTCGGTCCAATTTATTGAAATTATTAATGATCTACTTGTGCTTATACAGTGACGTTAATTTCGACGAAATTGCAAATTTGCAAAAGTTGACTTTGAAGACTAACACATAGAGCTTTACGAGGCCAATGTCTGGTTTACTGCGTCTCCTCAATTGTTTCGTTTTTGGCCAAGGAAAGGAAGAAACTGGTATCGTTTGTTTTGTGACATCCTCAATTCGAACTTGTCTCAAATATCAAGTTTCTGTTTTTAAACTCTGATGCTTCCTGTTTATCTCTAACTTTCTTTTTCTTTCAAGTTGACTTGTGGATCATTCATATTCCGTTTCAGACACAAATTGCTCAAATTCAACAAACACCATACTTTGTCTCTGGAGTTATTTTGGACATTGAATATGTTATATTTGTTTGTCTCTTGTTTATTTCTTTGTATGTTGTTTTTCTTTGTCTATGGGTTGTTTCGAAAGCGGAAGGGTGTAGAAGGAAAACCCATGTCTGACAAGAAATCTACTCAAACAAAGTATGATGTTTTTGTTAGCTTCAGGGGCGAGGACATTCGTTCAGGGTTTCTCAGCCATTTGGTTGAGACTTTTCAAAGGAACAAAATAAATGCCTTTGCGGATGATAAACTTGAGAAGGGAAATGAATTATGGGAATCACTTGCGGGAGCAATTGAAGGATCCATCATTTCGTTGATTATATTCTCACAAGGCTATGCTTCTTCGCGTTGGTGTTTGGATGAACTTGAAACAATACTTGAATGCAATATGAAATATGGTCGCATTGTAATCCCTGTTTTCTACCATGTGAAGCCCACAGATGTACGACATCAAACTGGGAGTTACAAAAAAGCATTTGATGAGCATGAAATAAAATACAAGAGCAAGGTACAAATTTGGAGACACGCTTTGAATAAATCTGCAGATTTATCCGGAATTGAGTCATCAAATTATCGGTGAGTTCTTTGCTCCCAAAACATGCTCAATGTTTTTAAGCAGTTACTTTGTTGTATGCAAATTAATCACAACGTGGTTGGTTAAATTGCAAAATGATGTAATCATAAAACCTTTCAAATAAATGAGGATTTTAACAATCTCTCTTCTATAGTAACGATGCTGAGCTGCTTAAAGAAATTGTCAAGCTTGTGCTGTCAAAGTTGGCTACATCCCGGGTTATCTCCAAAGGACTCGTTGGAGTTGATGAAAAATTTGCAGATATAGAATCATTAATACGCAAAGATCCTAAAGACACTCGTCTTATTGGGATTTGGGGTATGGGTGGTATTGGTAAGACAACCTTTGCAAAAGAAATATTTAATCAACTACGATTTGAATATGAAGGTTGTTATTTTCTTGCCAATGAAAGAGAACAATCAATTAGACATGGAATAGTTTCTTTGAAGAAAGAAATTTTTTCTGGACTATTAGCGGATGTTGTGACAATTGACGCACAAAATTTGTTGTCTGATGACATAGATAGAAGAATCCGTCGCATGAAGGTTCTTATTGTTCTAGATGACATGAATGATTCAGATCACCTAGAAAAATTATTGGGACCTCTTGATAATTTTGGACCAGGTAGCAGAATAATTATAACAACTAGAGATGAGCAAGTGCTTAATGCTAACAAAGCTGATTGGATTTACTGGCTTGGAGAACTTCGTTCAGATAGAGCGCTTGAACTCTTCAATTTGAATGCCTTTCACCAAAGTGATCAACAATGGGAATACTATGAACTCTCAGAACGAGTTGTTCACTATGCCAAGGGCATTCCATTAGTTCTTAAGGTCTTGGCTCATCTTCTTCGTGGAAAGAGTAAGGATGTATGGGAAAGTGAGCTAGACAAGCTCAAAAAAATGCCTCTTACCAAAGTTTACGATGTAATGAAACTCAGTTATGATGATCTAGATTACAAGGAACAACAGATATTTCTAGATCTGGCATGTTTCTTTTTTAGAACTTATGAAACTATATCTGTGGGATATCTAACATATCTATTGAAGGATGGTGAAAGTGATAACTCAGTAGTTGTTGGGTTAGAAAGGTTGAAAGATAAAGCTCTTGTTACTTTCTCTGACAATAACTTTGTATATATGCATGATATTTTAAAAGAAATGGCTTGGGAGATTCTTCGTCGAAAGTCTAAGGAATACCCTGGAAGCTTTAGTCAGTTGTGGGATTCGCATCACATAGATGAAGCACTTGAAAATGACAAGGTTTAAGCCTAACTGAATATAACATCTTTTGAATAACACTTGAATTTTATTTGGATGAGTGAGAAATGTGGCATTTTATGATGTTTAAATTTTATCTTCTATTATGGCAGGGTAGTGAGACCATTAGAAGCATACAAATTGACTGGCCAACAATTAAGAAGCAAAAGTTAAGCCCTCACATATTTGCCAAGATGAACAAACTACAATTTTTGAAAATTTCAGGGCAAAGTCAATATGATTGCATTGATCAACATAATATTCTTGCTGAAGGGCTTCAATTTTTGGCAACTGATCTAAGATATCTTTGTTGGCAATATTACCCTCTAAAATCTTTGCCAGAGAATTTTTCTGCAGTATTACTTGTTGTGTTGAAATTGCCAAATGGCAGATTCAACAAACTTTGGCATGGAGTGAAGGTAATACGTGTCTCACTGTCATAATTTTCTGTTAATTCAAGGAATATGAAATTAACTAAATTAGCTCATGTGATATCCTCATTTGATTTCATTGTATTACAGAATCTTGTGAATTTAAGAATAGTTGACCTCTCTGACTCCGAGAAGTTGGAGGAGTTGCCAGATTTATCAAAAGCTACAAATCTTGAAGAACTGTATCTCGGGGGTTGTTCTATGTTGAGTAGTGTGCATCCAACTATTTTCTCTCTGGCCAAACTTGAATGTTTGGACCTTGGGTTTTGCACGTCCCTTACCATACTTTCAAGCAATTCCCCTTTATGCAGCCTCAAAGATCTCAACCTGGTTAGGTGCCGGAAACTTGAGGAATTTTCATTGATATCAGAGAATATGACAAACTTAAGATTAACATGGACGAAGGTCACAGCATTTCCCTCGTCATTTGGAGATCAAAGCAAGCTTGAATTGCTATGTCTCCAAGGAAATGACATCAAGAGGTTACCTTCATCCATCAAAGATCTTATGCATCTGTCACATCTAAACGTTGGCCATTGCTTGGAGCTCCAAACAATACCAACACTCCCCCCATTTCTGAAAACTCTAGAAGCCACATATTGCACTTCACTTCAGACTCTGCCAGAGCTTCCCCCTTCCCTTAAGTATCTATATGTGGGAAACTGCGAACGACTTCAGACTTTACCAGACCTACCCCCTTTGCTTGATATTCTAATAGTCCGAAATTGCTCGTCACTTCCAAGTCTACCCAAGCTTCCCCTTTACCTTAAAGAACTACACGCCGATTTCTGCACATCATTCCAAACTCTACCAGAGCTCCCCAAGTTTCTTCAATTAATAAGCAGCCGATACTGCACAGTATTGAAGTCTGTATTGTTGTTCCCATCAACCGCTGTTGAACAGTTAATGGAAAACAGGACAAAATTTCTGTTGTGGAATTGCTTGAACTTGGATCAACATTCCTTGGCTGCCATTGCGTTGAATGCGCAAATCAATGTGATAAAATTTGCAAACCAACACTTACCTTCACCAGATGATGCTGAACACAACAACTATTGTGATAATACTGATCGTTCCAATCAAATTGTTTATGCGTATCCAGGAAGGTCTGTTCCAGATTGGTTGGAGTACAAGACAAAAAAGAGTTATATAACTATTGATCTCTCTGCTGCTCCACTTTCTTCGCCGGTGGGCTTCATTTTCTGCTTTGTTCTTGGTAAGTACAGAGAAGCAAGGTGTGGAAAAATTGAAGCAAACATCACTATAAGTGATGGTGAGGGTGAACATAGAAAGGAAAGTGTGGGAATGTGCATCGATGATCATTATGATAAAATTGAGTCCGATCACCTGTGTGTGATATATGACCAAGGATGTTCTGGCTACCTATGGAGCAAAGCCAAAAATGGTACAAGGTTGAAAGTCGAGGTGACAGTGATGTTCCGATCCTCATCCAATCATATTTGTGTGCTGCCAGACCACGTGTTTCAAGGATTTGGAGTCAGCCTAATAAGCACATCGGCATATAACAATTTCATTAAAAAAATGGAATTGCGTGACTCCATGTACGAATTTAATTAACCAAATGGAATCAGGTTGTGTTTCGTTTCATCTATAAGCTATTTTCTTTCCATTCTTGTAATTTAGAACAATATGTACGTGAGTTCTTTATGCATCCAGAGAAATGTACGAGAAAAATATTACGTTACTAATGTTCTTTTTAAAACAATTAACATTAATATATTGCTGATATAAAAAAATTATACGATCAATTAAGAAAATAAAATTATTAATATTTTTTAAATAATTTTATAAAAGTTATTGGATATTTATTTGGCGTTAATTGATCAATCATCAGCTCTTTCCATATTCTTACTGGTCAATCGCACTGTGTCGCGAGTCCGCATCGAGTTCCTAGCAGGAGCTCCTGGACGATGAACGTAGCCACCATTGCCTTCATAAACTTCCCCTTCCAAATCTCACCACTCTCCTTTCGCGCCTCCCACCATCCCGCCAATCTCTCACTCTCTTTCACTCCTCTTTCTATCTCCAGAACCGCCATGGCCTCCGCCGCTCTCCGATCGCCCTCTCCGGACACCACCGAACTCTGCGATGAGTCCGACTTCGAATCTCTCCTCTCGCCTGACGGTTACATCTCCATATGTGGCTTCGGCTCTCTCCTCTCCGGTAAACTAACATAACTACCATCTTCGCTCTTTCTACTATTACTGTTCTTCTTCATCAAGAAACCTCTCCTTCCTGTCCGCATCGCAGAGAGAAGCGCACGAAGCACTTTCCCCGATTTGGCGAACTTCCGAACCGCTCGGTTGAACAGCTTCCGGCGCGTCTTCGCTCATGTCGCTCCGGTTTTCTTCGAGCGCGGCATTGCCAAACCCGAAACCATGGTTCGTTCTAAAAACACCGTAATTGTTACTTCTTCTTAGAGCGAGAAGAACTACCTTGTCAAATTTTATTTGTTTTTTTTTGTGAAATTGAAATTGGAAGGGACGTTGGAAATATGATGCTTACGCTGTGTGTGATGAAAATGTTATCAGGAAATTTCGAGCTTGAGTGTGGAGTCATGTGAAGGAGAAACTCTGGTGGTAACAGTTTTTGAGATCAGAAAATCAGAGGTACTACACTGAATACTTTAAATTCTGAATTTGGTGGAGTCGAACTTTCCATACATCATGTAATTAGAGCATTGTAGCCGTTGGATGAAGATTACACGGCTTTGATCTAATGAGTGTATCAAGTTCTATCTACCGAGATAAAATATGAGTAGTCTGATATTTCTTTAATGATATGTTTTGTCGACTGCGTGAAGGCGCGGAGAAGCCAGGGAAGCTGGTTTTTGTTAACTTGAGCACTGAAGCTAATATTTTCTATGGACGAATTTGCAGATTCCAGATTTTATCAAGAGGGAGGTCGAGTTTCGGTTCCTTGCTGTAAGCATGCAGATCTGGACTTTTAGCTTGCTGCTTTTATGTTTTGAGTCTTCAGATACTTTTGTACGTGGTGGTTTGAGATGTTTGGTTATTTGTGTGTTAGGTTCTTCCTGAAACGCTCGATGGCAAGGCTTTTGATTTTCCGGCGGTATGTGATGATTATTACTCTTGTGGCAAAGCATGAATTGTCTCTGCTCATAAGGAATATTGGTAATTTATTAAGTAAATTGGTCATTCGATGTGACAAAATCTTCTCAGGTCCTTTGTACACGTTACAGTGATGAGGAATTTTTCAACATCAGATGTAAAGGTAATTTTTCAGTGGCGTTGTACTTGTTTCAGGGCAAGAGTATTTTCTGGAAACTACTAGAAAGGCTGGTTTTATCCAACTAGTTTTCATGTTTATGTATTTATATGTTTGTGTCCATGTTATTGGCATAGTCGATAGTATCTCCTGCTTCTAAATCTAAGCACAGAAACTGATTAGGGAGATTGCCAACTCTTCTGAACTGAGTAGAGTTTTATGCGTGGAAAATGAATTTTTTTTTTTTTGTGATGTTTCAACATTTTTTCCCAATTATTATTGTTATTGTTTGCATGTCAAGGTTTGTTTTCCTTATATATATATACTATAACATTCTGCAAAGATTCACTGATGGATGACACAGGTTTTTCTGGAAAGGAGATACGGGACTTATTAGAGACTTTTAACTTTTCTTCTTCTATATGTTAGAAATACGCAATAAACACACTCGAAAAAACAGTGAAGAAAAAGGAGAAAGAATAAGAGTTTTGAGTAGTGTATTTCTAATACATCTATGTATTACTATACATCTATGTATTACTATACATCGTCATTTTTATTTATAGTACAATAACAAGTAGTTAATAACCTACTAACTACCTAACTAATATACAACGACTATATGCATTATTGTAATAATGCTATGTAATTGATAACCGTTTAATAATTCTGTTAGTTAATAATTTTGGATAAGCTTGGGTAAACCAAAATTATATATAGAGTGGTTGGCTTCTATGAGGGGAATATAATAAAGTTTTCTCTTTTCCGTGAATCCTCGACAATTTTCCTTGTTGGTATTGTGAGTGAGTATTGTGGAGTGTGGGTGTGAGTCTTTGGCGTGGAGGTGTGTGAGGTATTCCTAACCTTACAAGACATTGATATATACAGAATTATCACATTGGTATCAGTTAGCTTGGGGACGATGGTGACTATGAAAGAATTAGAAGTTGGTATGGATTCTTATAAAAAGACTCTCACTGATCATCAAGAATCGGTGCAATTATCTTTGGAAAGAATGCAAAAGTCTATGGAGGGACTTGCGGCATTAATCACGTCATGGCAAATATCCAAGAATGGTTCTTATGAGGAAGAAAGGAGGGAAGAATCGTCTCCTGCAAGATCTTCATTACTGGAGCAGGCACAAATACCTTTTCCTACGTTTGATGGGTCAAATTTTCAAGACTGGAAGGCCAAGGCGGAACAATTATTTGATTTGGAACAAACTCCGGAGACACAACGTAGCAAGTTATTACTGTTATCCATGGATGGTAAAGCCTTTGCTTGGCAACGCCATTATATGCAGAATCCTACAAACAAATTCAAAACGTGACGACTAATTATTCAAGATACGGGTAATCGCTTTGATCTTGGGGCTATTGATGATCCCATTGCGAAGTTAGCAAAATTGAAACATGATGGAGCCTTATTGGAGTATCTAGAAAAATATGATTCATTATTAGCCAGAGTGGTTATTTCTAAAGATATTGCTCTGAGTTTGTTTTTTGTCTGGATTAACAAGAGAATTAGAAAGGGCACTCTGTGTGCACAGTCCACAAACAGTACAAGATGCGATACGAATTGCAAGGCTTCAAGATGAAATATTACAAGTTATGGCCACTAGTTTTTCTTATGGTCAGGTGCCCAGTTCGAATTCTTATGAACACTCTGAAAGGAGTGGGTCATCGTTTTCTTCGACCAATAGGAATTATCCTATTACAACTTTAAAACAACAGATACCTTCACGAGGGACATATACTTCAAATGTACCAGATTCCAGGGGCTCAAATACTCCTAGGTTATCCAGAAAACAAGTTAGTGAAAGAATTGCTAAAGGCCTTTGTCGATTCTGTGGGGATAAATGGGATAAAGACCATAAACAAATATGTAAAGTATGGGGTAAGCTGCATGCTATATTTGTAGCACAAGAGCATGTCTGCATATCTTTCAGAGGATACAGATAGCCAAAACGACACTAATCTTATTGTCAATAGTTTGGATATGGTTCGGGATTCTGATGTTCACATTTCTTTAAATGCTTTACAAAGAGTAGCTGGAGGAAATACTCTTCAGATGAAAGGTCTCATCAAGAAACGTTTTGTTCCCTTTCTTATGGACACTGGCAGCACCCATAATTTTAGAAGTGCCCATTGGGTTAAAACTTTGGGGTTGAAGTCTTCTTGTATATCAGATTTCCCTGTTATGGTGGCCTCTGACAAGGAGTTAATAGTTACTCACATTGCAGTTGCTCACAGGTGGAGTGGCAGTTTAATAACCATACCTTTCATGCTGATTTTCTGGTGTTACCTAGCACTTCATTTGGAGTTATATTAGGAATGCAGTGGTTCAAGACGTTAGGTGAGATACGACGGAACTGTGGTGAGCTTACAATGAAGTTTGAACATGATGGGCAATTGGTATGTCTCCAAGGCGAGCAACCATTAGTGGTTGTAGAAGAGCTTAATGGAAAACTACACCCAGCAAAATGCAATGCTATGTTATTAGCTTTGCAAGGATTTTTTCACAGTCAAAATGGTATGGATATTACATTACCCAAATTGACATCTACTGAGCAAGATGAATGGACTACTTTATTGGCAAGTTTTGACAAGCTTTTTCAAGAACCTGCGACCCTACCTCCACAACGTAGGTATGATCATAAGATTACTTTGGTCTCTGACACACCTGTTTTTTTGAAATCATATCGATATCCACATGCACAAAAAGAGGAAATTGAATGATAGGTCAAGGCTTTACTAGCTACGGGGTTCATTCGAGAAAGTGGGAGTTGTTATGCTTCACCTTTGGTATTAGTCAAAAAGAAGTATGGTTCATGGAAATGTTGTACTGATTTTCGGAGGTTAAATGTTTTAACCATTAAAAACAAATTTCCTATTCCTCTAATTGAAGATTTGTTGGATGAATTGCATGGTGCATCATATTTTTCTAAATTAGATTTGCGTAGTGGATATAATTAGGTTCGTATGGCTGACAACTTTTCGTACTCATAGTGGTCACTATGAATGGGTAGTTTTACCATTCAGATTAAGTAATGCTCCTACGACATTTCAGAATTTAATGAACAACATATTTCGTGAGCATCTTCGAAAATTTATTTTGGTTTTTTTTTTTTATGATATTTTAGTATATACTCAATCTTGGACAGATCACATACGATGTTTGCGGGTTGCCCTGGCAATATTGGAAGCTAATAATTTGGTCCTCAATTTCAAAAAGTACAGCCTTGGTCAAACGCAAATTGAGTATTTGGGTCATCTAATATCTGTAAAAGGAGTGCAACCAGAGCTAGGGAGATTTTGTCAGTTCAACAGTGGCCACAACCGAAAAATGCGAAGAAGTTATGTGGATTCTTAGGCTTATCAAGGTACTATTGCAGGTTTATTCATAATTATGGTAAAATTGCTCAACCCTTGACCTTGCTCCTACAGAAGGAGATGCAATTTAATTGGACTACGGAAGTAGAGTCCTCTTTTAATGCTTTAAAGAAAGCATTAATTACAACTCTAGTATTGACCTTACCCGACTTTGGACAACCATTCACTATCGAGACTGATGCTTCGGGTGTAGGAATTGGTGCGGTTCTCATTCAAAATGGTCATCCATTAGCCTTTATTAGTAAAGTCATGGGACCAAAGTATCAGTTATTCTCAGCTTATGAGAAGGAATTTTATGCTATTTTATTGCCGTCAAGAAATGGCAACATTATTTTCTAGGTCAGCAGTTTATAATCAAGACTAACCAAAAGGCATTAAAACATCTATTGGAGCAACCTCCAATTACGCTTATGCAGAATTGGGGCTTAGAAAAGTTAATGGGATTAGATTTTGTCATTCAATATAAAAAAGGTAATGAAAACATAGTTGCTGATGCTCTTTCTAGAAGACCGCAAGAAGGGACATTGGCTGCCATTTTCCATGTGACTTCTCAATTATTTATGGAGGCAAAAGATTATTGGAAAACAAATTCGAAGATGCGGAAGTTAGTTGATAAAATAAGAGGACAACAATAACCATATAAGCACTACACTTTTGATGAAAATTTTCTTCTTCGTAAAGAAAAGGTAGTTATTGGAGCAGATGATATCATAAAAGCTAACATATTGAATCACTTTCACAATTCTATGGTAGGAGGACATTCGGGGGCTGATCTCACCTATAGACGCATGAATGATCAATTTTATTGGAAGGGTCCGCAGAAAGAAGTTAAAGCTTGGGTTCAACAGTGTAGTAGTTGTCAAAAGAATAATCTATCTTACAGAAACCTGTTGGTCTATTACAACCTCTGGACATTCCCAACCATGCTTGGAAATCCATTTAAATGGACTTCATAGTCAGCCTTCCAAAATCCAATGGTATGACAGTCATTTTTGTGGTCTGTGACAGGTTCACTAAGTATGCTCACTTTATGCCTTTGGCCCACCCATATGGAGCTGCAAAAGTAGCACAAGTTTTCTATGACTCTGTAGTTAAATTACATGGTTGGCCATCTAAAATCATTTCTGACAGAGATAGTATTTTTTAAAGTTCCTTTTGGACAGAATTAATGAACACTCAAGGAGTTAAATTATTGAGATCCACGACATTCCACCCACAAACGGATGGGCAGACAGAAGCTCTTAATAAAGCCTTGGAGGGCTACTTACGTTGTGTGGCAGGAGAATTACCTACAAAATGGGCTGATCATATTTCATCTGCAGAATTATGGTACAACACCAAATACCATACGACCACAACAATGATTCCATTTGAAGCTTTATATGGCTATCCACCTATAGTACCGAATTTGATTCTTTGGTGGAAGCAGTTACCTATACGGTAAAAAGTAGAGACCAGAATTTAGAAATTTTGCGGCACCAGTTACATATTGCACAACAACGTATGAAACGCTATGTTGATGCCAAACAGGTCGATAAAGAATTTACTTGTGGTGATTTCGTTTAGTTGAAAATACAACCATATAGACAAATGAATTTAGCCAACACATCCTTTCACAAGTTAGCTACTCGATATTACGGCCCATTTCAAATATTAGAATGGGAAGGTTGCTTCCAGGTTAGATCTGCCTATTGGATCTCGAATTCATGATGTTTTTCATGTCTCATTGTTAAAACAACATCATGGGGACAATCCTGTATCCACCGAACTCCCTATATACAATGAAGATGGGGAAATGCAGCCTACACCTTTAGCTATTCTGGATAGACGCTTGAAGAAAAAGGGTAATAGACCAGTAATAAAGGTATTAGTCCAATGGTCTCGTACTAATCCTGAGGATGCTATTTGGCAGGAATTACACACTTTGAAGTTACAACATTTGTACGGGACGCTACAAGGACTTGTGGGCAAGTCCTTTTGGATGGTGGGAATATTTGTAATAATGCTCTGTAATAGATAACCGTTTAATAATTCTGTTAGTTAATAATTTTAGGTAAGTTTGTGTAAACCAAAATTATATATAGAGTGGTTGGCTTCTATGAGGGGAATATAATAGAGTTATCTCTTTTCTATGAATCCTCGACAATTTTCCTTGTTGGTATTTGAGTGAGTATTGTGCAGTGTGGGTGTGAGTATTTGGCGTGAAGGTGTGTGAAGTATTCCTAACCTTACAAGACATTGAGATATACAGAATTATCACAATTATCTACAACAATACCAATTTTCTATATTCTGCTTGGTGGGATGTTTATAATAATCAAAATATTTGTAGGCATCCCTCACTATCTCATAACTTTCTAGCTAGGCAGAAAGAAGGGTACACTGGTTCATTAGAGTAGATTTTCCTCAAATCATAGCGCTGTAGTTGATTTCTACATTTTACGTAAAAGAAGACAAATCTGATTGTGTATTTATGCATGCCCTTTGTCATACCTAGATTGTTTCTTTCTTTCATGTCTTTTGTCTTCGTTTATGCATTCTTACGCTACAGTTCCATTCAGGAAATAAGGAGATCTATTTTCAGCAATATGGTCGGTGGAATATAGATAAAATTTGGAGAGATGATGTGCTACCTTGTCGGGTTTATCTTCGACACTGGTAAGCACTTTTTGGGTGAAAACCCATTTGTCATTCATTAATTAGATGTTGGGCAGGGAAAATAGTACAAGGGTTATATTGACTAGGCACTAGTTAAAGATTTAATCAGTAAAAAGTTAAACTGAAATCACAGTGAAGCGGGAAAACTTTATATTTTTTATTTCTTAACTAATGTATTAAGGATGCTTGTTAGCATTCTCTGTAGTGTAAAATCACCGCCTTTCAACTAAATTTCTAATTAGCAGTTGTTTTGCTGGTCAAATGATCCTCACTGCCAGATTCACAATACCGAATCATATATGAAAATGACAGCAATTTACTTAGTGGCGATACCTATTATGTAAATTGGATTGTCACTCCACACAGGTCACAAATTCATGGGCAACATAGCTCCTCATTATAGTTTCTGTCTGCTTTTCCCTCTGACAAGTTTCCACATATTCCTTTTCAAAATGCTTTCAACGTGGGAAACAAAATATATTATTTTTTAGTTTCGTCAAAATCATATAGTACAGTTAGCGAACGAAGCTTTCCATTTTTTGAACCCAATCTACATTTAGATTCCCTGTAAATTAACAGTATTAGTGAAACTTTTGCAGTGTACTGGCAGCAAAGAATCTTGGTGAAACAGCTTACAACAACTTTCTGGATCACACTTATCTTGCTGACCGTAAAACAACCATTGGCGAATACTTGGCAACAACAGGTTCTGGCATCATGCAAGAGCAGCCCCCTGAATCCCTGAAGCACCGCTATGGCGGTTGACTTATAACTTCAATCAATATGTCAATGTAAAGTGAGGCAGATGGACTGAACAGCTTGATTCTTCAATATAAAAACTGTACATTCTTTGATAATTCAATAACGATTTTATTCTTCCTATTTGGTGTAAGTGTTGAATATCAAGTCCATGAACAGCATCAGCACAACTGACCCGATCATGTGTGTAAAAGAACTGTATTGCTGGGTACCGTTACAATGTTGCCATGGTTAAGCACATCAAGGTTCAAGCGTGTTTTTGTTTTTGAAACCATGTGCTTCAATTTTATTTATTTATTTTATTGTAGTAAGTACCAATTTACTCCAGCACGGTACTACATTATACGTGTGGGATGAGTTAAGAACTTATGGCATAGATGACAGAACACCGTTGTTAGTCCCAGTATCAAATAGCAGACATTAGTTTACTTTAAGGACCAAAATTGCATATTTTGAAGTAATAATATAATAGAACTAGAAGCAGTGAGCATGGATATCTTTATTTTTCTTAATACAGGTTGTGATATTTACGAATTGGTTTGCCATCATGATTTTATTGCTAATCACTAGTCTCCTGAAAATTTATAGAAAAACCATAATGGTTGTCAAATTTGAATAAAAAGTTACATTTAAGATAATGATGTTCTCATTGTCCATAGAAAAATTATGCATTAAGTAATTTGGTAACAAGTGATAATCAAGTTTGAATACGAAGGTCACCACATAATGCGTGAATAAAGTATGTAATATGAATATAATATGTGTAATATGAATATAAAATATGTGTAATATGAATATAATATATGTACATCGTTAATTTTGAATATCTGAATATCATAGTCAAACAGTCAGTTCGTTGATTTAGGTCTCTGCTACTCATCAGTAGAACTTCGAACATCTGAATATCATACTAGGTCGTCCATTTCCCCAGCTCTACTTCTGAATCTGGTGAGGTCCTAAGAGCCCTGATACAATAATTATGAATGTCTCGCATTTAGGAATGAGCTAACTGCTGCAGAAAAAATGTAAGTGATTACTGGGTTATGTTATGTTAACTTGTGAATTGCTAAATTGAGTTCTAATTACAACATTGCACCTCAAGTCCTACGAGGTGTGAAAAGATTGCTAAACCCGAAGTGATTTAGGAGTCTAGATTGCTTACGAACCATTCATGAACAACACTATTAAACTAAGATTTAACTCCTCCAAAACGAATGAATGTGTTGAAAATAAAAGGATTTCCCACTTGTTAGAAATATAACCTTTTTAAATCAACAGTAAATATATCATTAATTTCTCATTTTATACATGTACTACCTTGAAAGAATCAATCTCATACAATCAAAATTTTCTACAGGATGGCAGTAGCCAGCAGGGAGCTCAAGAACTGATATGTATTCAGTTCACCAATAATTTTGCAATTGCTATTTTGTTTCTTGTTAATGCAACATAGTACAGCTGCTATCTTTCTCTAGTTCTCGTATTAGTAGTTCCATCATCTTCTTATACATTGGCATGTAATGATCATTTATCATGGTTCTTGAAAGTCTCAGCTTGCTGTACAGCTCTCTGGGTGTTTCATATAAGCAGACATGTTCTTCGACAGGCTCATCAGAATTTGAATTTGATTCATCCGATGAAGGTACAGGTACAATATGCATGATCCTGCCAGGGGGATAAAAACGATGGCTGTCTAGGTTGTCTGGTGTAGTGATTGAACTGCTACTGCATTCTGCAGCTGCGTCAACTAGTTGATTCTCTTCTTCCGTGATCTCTTTTGCTGCTGCAGCCTCTTCTTCTTGAGCATGAATGTTCATAGTATTATCCTGTTTCTGAAGCTCCTTCTCCAGTTCATACCATAACTGGCCTTCTGTGAAGTCGTCAACTGTGGATGCAGTAATGTCTTGATTAGCAGGAATGAGTGGCTCTTCTTCATCTGTGTCATCATGGCCAGATCCTCCACTTGAGGATGTATTTTCATCCTTATGCATAGGTTCTCCTACTACCTCTTCAGTCATAAGAGATTCTCTGTTCCTTGCAGATATTAGAGAGGTTTCAGTTAAGTCCTCTGTTTTAGATGGACCCACATTTCGGCGGCGTGCACTCATGCAAGACCATGATGACAATGATGACCGTGTTCTGACAACAGCTTCTGCAACACTCTGTGCGCGCTTCATCACAACCTGCAATTATAAAACATGATCTCCATCAGATCAAGGAAGCACTATGCTGTACAAGATTTATATCGAGTAAAAGTGTCAAGATCAATAGAAAAAGCTTCCGTTCATGTTAAGTACAGATAGCTTGATAAATTTCACCAATTGATGGGGGGATTCCTGATTGAAAACTACATCCCAAATAGCACTGAGTACTACAAGCTGTAAAAAATGTCGATTGGATATAAAAGAGGTTGAAGTTGAGGTTACCTGTGTGCCAGTGGCTACTGGCCACAGAATAGCCCCAGCACCAGCTACCCTAGCCTTTGCACTAGAAATAGATGGTAGGCGAGATCCAAGTGCCGTTGCAGACCTGTAGACAACATTCAGGACCTTTGTATGTTCAACCTGATCCCGTAAATCGTTCAACCAAGAGGATGCGGTGACCTGGTAAAAACCAACTTGAGTAAGAATCAGAGGCAAGATTACATCACAAATTGAGTCTAGTGTACAGCTCCAGTACGGTCCATTGTCACTCCGACTTAATTAACTTTAATTTCTCAAAATCATTACTTTTGTATCATAGAAAAAGGGTATTTAGATAAAACTAGTTTGCTAGGAATGACAATACACTCCACAAACGAAGTAACGAACATTATTGTTTGCAAAAACCATCTAAACTCCTAGCTAGCTCACCTCAGAACGGAGATCATCAATAGATGAAGTTGAAAATGTTGGCACCAAATCAGAACCATTTATGATGGTAGTGATAAAGTGTTTTCCTGATTCTGCTAATTCCCATGTTATACAGGCAGCTGCAAAAGAGACAACCATGATAAAAGGAACTTAGTAACAGTTGTATGATAAGACTGGAAAGGATCCCATATTAGAGAAAATTCAATGTCTAAGGCCAATTGAGCAAGAAAAATAATCAAACAAAATCATGGACAACAATTACAGTAAATAAGAATTTCAAAACAGATGAATATCATGACATGTGTTCCATTCTTCACACCTGTCTGCTTTAGTGTTTATTTGAAAATGTAACTAGACACTACTTAAATGTTACAATCTGATGCTGAAGTAATTGGAAAACTCTTATTGCCACAGAGAAAGCTCCATAACTTTCAGTCTTGCACACACATCCGCACAATCAAGATAATGAGATGGAGTTACAAAATGAAGCAACTGATGAATAATCTTATTGCTCAATTGAATAAAAACTTCATCAGTAAAATAGTATAACTACATACCTGGGGCAAACGTGACACATGTGCTTGACGATAACTCTTTCTGCTCTCTAAGAATATATGTTAACAAGGCAGCAGTGCCACCACCAAGTGAGTGTCCAACAATCTATAGAACCATAAAATAGGATTAAGGTTTAGTAAACATGCTTATACAGGTGTAAATAAAATAAAAAGTGAAATACAATTTTAAAATTAGGAAAGAAATTATGTAAAAAGAAGGAATAATTTAAGGAACAAAGAAATAAGAAAAAAAAAATATGATCCTAGAATATATCCATGAACAGTGTGTTATCAATTGAGTATACATTGATGTAATGATACAGTTTTTTCAAATAGAATGTTAAAACAATACCTTGACTTTGAAGTCTGGACATTCATCAAGAGCCTTGAGTAGGGTAGGAGTGCAAAGCTTTGCAATCCATCTAGCAGCAGCAACCATACCACAGTGTGCATAACCTAAAACCAAGTTGCTGATCCCACCATCATTTAAAACTGAATGGTGGAATGGAACTACAGCACCGGTTGCAGCTGTAAGTGTGTCCTTTATGCTATGAGTACCCCGGATCAATAGAAGTAAATATTTTGACTTTGTATCACGTATAATTGTAAACGCAGGCTTCAGGAGCTGCAAAAATATATCATGCCATAGATCAAAATTAAGGAAAAATTAGGAAAATATGTGGAAATACTACAGAAGGTCACAGTAACAGAGAAAAAGAGAGAAAAGTAGCAGAAGCATACTTTTGTATGACAAGGTAAAAACATATTTTGTGAAATTAATGACTAACTCGGGAGATAGAGTCACAAAGATTCTCAGAATTGAAACTCAAGTCTACACCAGTTTTTGTCTCTAGAAATCAACAACCAGTATCTCATACAAACAAAAACTTCACACTTTTCTATTCATTCCATTCCATTCTTCAAGGGCATTTTGAATCTTAGTGATAGAATTCTCAAATGTTTATAAAATAAAATGAACAACCCAAATTATAACCTTATAGGGAATGTACAACATAACTTCCCTTGGGGGTAGGTTTTGGACATTAATAACAGGTCTCTGATTGCTTGAACAGATTACTCTTATATGTTAAGCCAACATTGCAGACTTCCCTAAATCCTGACGGTTAGGGTAGCAAACTAAAAATTATTGTTGCAATAAACCTATTTGCTATAGAAGATCAAAGAGTCTAAAAAAGGCATCCTGACATAGTATAATTATTTTGTCCATAAATCTCTTGGGAATGAAATTTGTTCAAAATACACCTTGTTTTATCTCATTTAAAACTCAGACTCATCGTGTTATATCAGAGCACGCACACTTTCATAACAAAACATATATTTTACATACAAACACCATTCTGCAAGGGGTTGGATTCTCTAATATGACATGATGAATCATGTGTAATTTTTTGTCTCTCTCTACTTCTTAAGCCACAAGGGATCTCTTATCTCTAAATCTATTAATGTTAAAAAAAGAAACAGGAAAAAAAATTAGTGTTAAAAAAGTGGCATTTGCAAAATGCCTAATACACCACAGGTAGTCCAACTATAGGTCCCCCTTATCTCAGAGTCAAGAAAGTTTTCCCAAATATAACCAAATCTGGGGACAAAGATGAAGTGGGAAACGTAAGAGCACTTCATGTCACATACAAGGACCTGAACAAAAACTTGTGTTTCTGTGGTAATAGATTTTTTTCAGTATATAAAATATTTACACAGAGAGGATCAAGACAAATACAATGACCTTTGGATTCAATTCATTGGCGTTTCCTTCTAAACAGTGGTGAGAATGATGACACTATCTCTAAACTCATCTGAGTTGTTGAGTCAGACTCTCTCTGTGAGAGCGTGTGGCTTGTCCTACACCTCTCCACCACTCACCCCCAAAATTATAAAATACACAAATGAAAAGTACGAGAGAGAGAGAGAGAGAGAGAGAGAGAGAGAGGATAACGACAAAACATACCCCAGCTTTTGGCTTCTGAATCAGCACATCATCAAGGGAAAACCCAGCAGAATCTAAAAACACAGGAAATGGCTTCTTAGAGAAAAGCATACACAAAGTCAAAAGCCTCGACAACTCATACAGCTCCACAATTATCCCATCCCCTTTGAGCTGCACAGAATCACTCCCAGCATACACGCTTGCAACTGCCAAATTACCCTGCATAATGCAAACCATCACACACACACCCCCATTATTCCCAAAATCACAATCCCCAAAACTCTTGCACCTTTCCACATGTCCAGAAACAGAAAAACACTGAATTCCACTTAGAACTTTCAATTTTATACAGAATCTCATTAAATTCACCTGCTTGCGCATGAAGTAGTTGATGCCGAAGGCCAAATCGCCGATGGGCCACTTCCCGAGGGTCTCGGAATACGTGAACCTCAAAGTCTCCGACAGCGTCACGATCGACTCCAGCAGCGTCGCCGGAGCCTGCACCGGGCGCCGAGAAAGCCTTCTCCGGCGAATCGATCTGCTCGATTTCGACACGTCGCCACCGTGATCATCGCCGTCTTCCTCCGCCTTCCGCGACAGCCGCCGGCTCAGCACGTAATACAGCATAACCGCCGCACCGGCCGCCGTCGCCATTGTCCCCGCCGCCATGGGCTGTCGGAGATCGGCCACGCGCCGAGAAAACCGCGACAAGAATCTAAAAAATGCGATGAATGAAGGGAATGAGAGGAGACTTTATTGAGGGCAAACAATGCGGTTTGGAAAAAGATTATAAATTTGGGATTTGGATTGTGATGAAATGGAATGGTGACACAAAAAACAGAAGATCGGGTGTTCTTTCTCTTTATGGGGAGGGTTACCCACTGGTAACACATCATCTGAAACAAAGAAGCATGGTATAGTGTTTGGACATGATTACCATAATGCCCTTTGGTTAGTAGAGATATTTGTAGATAATGGAAGGGTAAATTGGTAGTAGGGTGAAGCCTTATATAATTTTTATTCGTGGGAAAGTGGACACGTTAAGGATGAAAATGGAAATTCCAAATAAAGTATTATTATTTGGGAGTATTAACATTTGTTTGATTCAAAAGGCTTTAAAACCGTTGTGTTTGATTCTTGTCAAACTCTGTTACGAAGGAATTAATTGATTTGATTTTTTTTTTAAATAACTACTCACTTTTATTTATTTTGATTTACACTTTAATGTTTTATGTAAATTTTGAATAATATAATCATTTTTTTAATTTTAATATAATAACTACTAAAATTTTTATTTTATCTTATAAATCTATATCATATAAATTAAGTAGATAATAAGCATATACCTGATAAAAAAAGTGATGAAAAATTAATTGATAACAAAGTAATTAATATTATTTAAATTTTAAAAATATTTATAAAGAAAGTAAAAAAAATAGAACAAATAGAGTAGTATTAAAAGTAATTCATATTTAGAATACTATTTTAAATTTTGGTTAAAAATAATTTTTATTAAAATAAGATAATAAATATGACATTTAAGGTTATTATTATAGAAAAAAAAATGATAGACTTACCAAATGTGATGTTTTATAATTAAATAGTGGCCTGTAAATGTTTTACAGTGTTCACAGTACATTTTCTTATATTTTATTAGCATAAAAATTTTTGAATTATTATATTATATTTAATATAATTTTCTTAAACTTTTTTGAATTTTTATCTTTTTAACATTTTTAGTTCCTACAGTTCTTCTGTTATTAAATAATAACAATATTAACAAATGATATAACAAATATGTTGACATCTAAATTAATCATCTCTCAAAGGATTATATTGAAATAATTAAAAAAATTTACTCAATTTTTAATCTCTTATCTTTAAACTAATTAGTAATGTCAAACAAGTAAATTATTTACATAAAATCACACTCCATTCAATCAACTAAGCTACATTCATTTTACATGCAATTAAAAGCTAAGTTTGTAAAAACAAAAAAAATATTATACAGGAATATTGTATTAGATTATTTGATGGTGTGTAACATTAATATAAGCGGGAATTAAATTTATCAACAAAAGTATTTACGAACTAAAAAATATATAATAAAAAATACATCGATAATATTTTATATTAAAATGTTGAAGACAAGGACAGTGAGAGGAGGTGTGGGTCCGCGGTTCGGGTCATACCACACGGACTGGGGGAAGCGGTGCAATAAGATTGGTTGGTTGCTGGATCCAACCCAACAATGAGCATACCATAATTTAAAGTGGGACCACCACACTTTCTTCGTTTATCTCTGGTGTTAGTATTAGTGACACTTTCTGTCAAATAAACAAAATATTGAAACCAGTTTGGTGCTTAATGTATGGTTTTTGTCTCTCATAACACATCATGTGGCTATCAGGATAAGATTAAACAAACAAAAAGGTGGGGCCGTCTCGTTTTGTGGTTGGAAATCACTCCACGTAGAGAACCAGTGGTGTTTTTATGTGTCTGTCCCTAAATAATTCATCACAAAACATTTTATATGTTTTTATGCTTCTATTCTATGTCTTCCAGGTGCTTTTTTAACAAAAACTAAAAACAAAATGCAAAAATATCATTAGGTTTGTGCCTTTACTTTTTCTTAAATTATTAATTTATTTATATTTTAAAAACGATTATTTTTATTAATGAATAATGAAGATAAATAAGTAAAAAATTAATCCTCTTTACTGATGTTTTTTCATGAATCCCAAAATCTTACTCTCATATTCAATGATATCAAATATTCATCATTTAAGCAAAATTTAAATATAATTAAATAATATAAATTAATAAAAATAATTCATACGTAAATAGAAATAAATATATGAGATCACTAATGTGTTAAATAAACAAATATAAAAAATTATAAAAAAAGAATAAATAAATAAATAAGAATGATATATAACTAAAAATAAAATAAACTAAAATAGTGATGATTTTACCAGACAATTAAAACGATACTTACTTTAATTATTATAAATGATATAAAAATTTTTACAAGTTATTTATATATTTTGTTTGTGAAAATGTCATTCTTGCTTCTTTTTTCCTCTTTTTCTCTTTTCTTTTTTCTTTTATTTTATTTCTTCCTCTTCTTCTCTCTTTTTCACCTTTCTAATTCTAAATTATATAAAATTTACCTTTTTTATTTTTTTTTCCTTTACATGCATATTTATCTTTTTATTGTTAAAAAAATAAGCTTTTATATTTTATTCATTTAAATTAAATATTTTTTAAAATTATTAATTAATTAATTTAACATTTTTTTAATATTTTAAATAATATTTTTTTATAAAAAATAGATATTTTTATAAAAAATATTTAAAAATATTAAAATCTAATATATTATATTTAAAAATTTTATGTGATAAATTTTGAAGTATTATAAATTTGTTTGTACTAATAATTTTATATATAAAAGTAAAAAATAAAGTAAAAAATAAATTAAGAGATTATACCAATCTTATAAAAAAAATTAGTTTTTTTTATTAAGGTTTATTTTCTAGGTTTTGTTTTTATTTATTTATGATTTTTTCATAAATAAAATGTTTTGGAAAAAAATACAAATAATAATTGAAAAGAGATTATATTATTTCTATCTTATTGATTAATCTTTTTAAAAAAATATTTATGTTATTTTACTTAATCATTTATGTGGTGGATAATTCATAAGATAATGACTTAAAAATTTTATAAGAGATGAAAATAAAAAATATCAAAGATCAAAGATCAAAATACGGTGTAAATTTAGTAAGGATAAAAAAATATACTCCTACTCAATCATTAATATTTGACTTAAAGAATAAGTTAGTATTTAACAAATATTAATAAAAATATTTTTTATCAACGATAAAATTGATTTTTTTTATTGAAAATATATGGAAAATCTGCAAATTTATGAAAGATTAAAAAATTATTTAAACTTGAAAATTGTAAAATAATGTTGACCTAACTTATATTATATCAAAATCCAACTGAAGATAAATTTTGAATAATAAGACCTAAAAGGTATTACATAATAAAATTTAATAAAGATAAAATATAAACAAAATAAGATTAATTATTACTAAAATTTATGTAAAGTATTCAGAAAAAATATAAAACAAGAAAAATTGTTGATCGGAGAGATTAAGAAAATGTGAAAAAAAAGAATAATGGAATGAGCTAATTGATATAAAAGATTAAAAATGTAGGTAGAAGAAAAGTAAAAATGGTGAAATATAAAAAAATAACATTATATATAATGAAAAAAGAAAAGAAAATATTTTTAAAATATTAGTATTTTAAATTTAAATATAAAATTGGGACGGGGCCGAGATGAGGATTGTTGTACCCATCCTCATCCCGACCTTTTTAAAGCGGGGAAAACCTGAATTCATCCCTGATCAATTCAATTTTTCTCATCAAACTTCGAACGAAGACAGATCGATCCTCGTGGTACGAGTTTAATTATCATCCTTAATTGTAAGTTAATTAATTAGAAAGAGTAGGACAAACATGGGTTTGCACTAGTATTTGTTTCATTGCCAAATTTTTTTCCTTTGTTTAGATGTCAAATAATAAAAACCACTAAAAAATATTATAATAGTCGAGATATTTGGACCGGATATCTCGACAATAGCTGAGTATATTGATCATTATTGAATACCTAAACAATATCAAAATCATATCGAATATCCAAATATTAACTCATTCCAAAATTTTGAAAACTACCTTGTAATATCCACTTAATAGTTAAAGATAAATATCCTTATTATCATGAGTAATTATGGCAATTTACTCTTATATAAACAGATTTAATATTTATTTATTTTATTTAATTCACTCGTACTCTATTTACTTTCTTTCACATATTAGTCCTTTATAATATTTTCTTACACTTAGTCTAATGGAAAGAAGTTCAAACACCTTCTTCAAATTTTGATAACAACACATTGATTACATGATTCATGTTTTAACTAATGTATTATGTGGAATAAATTTTCATAAGAAATAAATATTTTAAAAATATAAATTATATTTTTAATATATTAAAATTCAATTTAAAAGTTTAGTTAAAGAGAATATATTAAAGTAGAAAAATAATTAAGGAGAACAAATATAAATATAATACAGACTAAAAGATGATAGTTAAAGATAGTTGAATAATAATTGATTTTCATACTTTGTTTTTTAAATATTTATGATATTCTTTGAGATAGAGCTTTGATTGTTTTCTTTCTAATAAATAAATTGGTGACTAGTTAGGGTTTAGTTTTAATTAGTAAATCAATAATCCTTTACTTAATACTAATTAGTCAAGTTTTGTTGAAATGAACGAAGTATTTGGGACCAACATTTATTGCTATATTGCTTAAGTGAAACATTGATGGTCTTGTCTTGCATAAGTCAATGTTACCTATAATGGTTTTATTTTAAGGTTTTTGAATTCATTTTGACAAAAGGGCGATCCAACAACTTTTTGACCTAAGCAAAAAGTGGTTCTTGGAGTTATTTGCCGGGAACTTGTGTCATCTTCTCCATTCTTCCATGGAGTTTCCAATTGTAAAATCTTAACTCTACTCTTATATCAATATACTTATTTTCTACTTTTATGCTTAATTCTTGCTTTTGGCTTCATCACCCACATAATTTTATGAATTGATTTGGGTTAAAAAACTAGACTTTATTTTAGACTTGAGGTATGAATCTAAATTTAGAAATGGGTTTTAAAAATTACTTATAAGTATTAAGTGTAGTTTAGAAAAATGACTAATTGAAAATATGATTAGTGAAACCAGTACTTATCTTTATTAAAGGTATAAAAAGTTAAACTATTCTAATATAATATAATCAATCTTGAGTCTTGGACCTTATCATACCATCACTTGTTCATTTATCACGTCACAATCTCCTGGGAAGAACTATAAAGAATCACAGAAAACCCCACGTTTTGATAACATAAAAATTGATTTATAATCAGAGTGCTGGGTAATATATAGTTTGAAAGTCAACTTAGAGCTTGGTGAGAGGGAGACATTAACATACATCAATTGTATTGGTTGGTTAGCTACATCCAATGTAAAATCATTCTTGGAGAAATGGAGCAGCATAATTTTGGTATATGACTATAGTTTTGTCACTTTTCTGTTAGTTTAAACCATAATTTTGGCCAACTTCTAACTTTTCTTCTCATACTCCTTTCTCTGTATGTACAAATTGGTCAATAAGAGGCCATTATGACAAACAAAGATGACTATAACATTGCTTTACAAGGTTTATATTTAAAACCTAAATCCAATCTTTTTAATTTTGGTTTAAAATGGTTTATGGTTCAACATTGAAGTTGCTCTGGTAGAAGATTGAACTGTAAATTGAAGTATGTGAGAAGGTTGCTTGACTTTACATAGTTTTAATTCAAATTCAAGTGGTGCAAATGAGGTTTTAACTTTACTATTTCAATATAAGGTTTGGTGTTTATTTTGGAAATTATTTTTTCTTATTTGGTGTCTTACATAATAATTGTATTTTTCTTTTTATTTTGAGAAAAATATTATTATTTATTTCTTTAATTTAAAAAGAGGTATTGTAATTTTTTAATTATAAAATTTTATTATTACTTTGTTCATTTTTTTTATTTGTTATTTTAATTATGAATTCTGATTTCTAATAGGCTGTATTGTTAATGTTGATTCAAATTATAAAAAGATAACCTATACTTATTTTTATTATTTATTATTTACTATCTTTTTATTTTATAAGTAAATTTAATCTGAACGGATATTATTGTGATTTATTAATTATATAATCACTATTACATGCTTTTTTTAGACTTTTATATTTATTGTGCATGTTAAAAAATATTTTTTAATATTATAAAATTATAATATTATATTTATTGAAAATTATATATTATTTGATTATTATTTATTAAAACCGATATTGAATCAACTTTAAAATAATATCTTAACCGAAGATGCTGCCAAAAATTTGTTATCAAACAATAATAATTATACTAAACAAGTTTTTTAACGGGTAAATAAAAGTTAGAAAATAGCAGAAAAACACGGCGACACATTACCTCGTTTTGAAAAATTTAAGATAAAATTAATTTATAATTTACAAAGTTATTCAAATCTAAGAAAAGAGTGTTGTACTTAGAATAAATCATAATTGTAATTATTGATAGGAACAGTTAAACGCGGACACACATGATGATTGTTTAATTATTAATGGACAAATTATTTGCATGAACAGTTATTGAGAAAGTTGGGTTAAGTTAGATTCCAGATATTCATCAATCTCAACATATATCTATAATTCAAGAGACATAAACCTTGTGTTTCCCAAAACATTTTCTTTTGCATTAAATTCACCTTGGATACCAATGACAGTTTTTTATAAAAAGAAAAGATTGAAGAAGCCATTCTTAGTGCATTCAAAGCATAGGTCAAAACTTCTGCTCTTAATTATTTTCAAAGTTGTTTTCAAATAGTGCATAGCTCTCTTTTCCCTATGAACCAACCCGCAAATGACTGCCACAGTTGCTTAGACTTTGGGATTCCAACCCATAAACAATTTGTCTTCATCTGCTTTTCACTTTTGAATTTCATCTCATTCTATTCACCTTTTGCATTGGGCCATGGGAGCTATATTTCTGTGAATAATTTAATATAATACTTTGATTATATATGAATTGATTTGGTTCAAGTTAAAAAAACCAATCTGATTAAGTTACAGTTTATAATTTGATTTTTCTCATGTACAAATCATGAATTTGAGAATTCAAACATACTATAAAATTTATTGATTATAATAAAAAAATGTATATCATGAATAGTTAAATACTAGTAATCGATTACATCTTATTCAATTGTTCTTCACACGCTGTTTATACAGAAAATTAGTGCAAGGTTAAAAAAAAAAGTGTGATGGGTCATTTGATTCATAAACTACTTGAAAAGAAGAATGAATGTGCTCTGTCCTGAAATGGCAGTTTGCTCTAACAAAAAACTAGTGACAGTGAAAGCCCTTTGGTCTTTACTTGGAGGATTGGGAAGCGTTTGGAGTAATTGAGAATTCAATATATACCAAAATCGTCTTAAGGGTTCTATTTTTTGTTTAGTAAGTCTCATTCCTAAATTAAACAAATTCATGCGTCTCAGCCAATAGAAAGAAGTGTTGGAATCAAAATGTTGAATACGTTGTTACTTCTCCATTTATACTGATGAAGGCATTGTGATGGTAGTTGTTACGTTGCACCTAATTCTCAGCAATTGTCAATGATGCAGTCCAAGAAGAAGATGAAAGAAATGATACGTTCTTTTGAACATAAGGGTGCAAGATGGAAGACAATTAGATAATTATTCTATGCGTGAATATGATTTAAGGTTACTAGAACCCTTCAAGGGTTGTTGTGTTTAGGCATCTACCTACTACCACAAATTTCATAGAAGGGTATACCCCGAAAATGGAGGGATCTCTCTTTTCATCAATGCTATATTTGCTAATATGGGTTTCGAATCTTTCACTGTAGATTGATATAATGAATTGTTAGACCGAAAAAGAATCTTTGAAAAGTCCAATTCATAATTCAGAAAATTAAAATGGTTTAGCGGTTGAGACCTCTCCTAAACTTAGCCTTTGACCTAATTTTGTAAAATTAAAACGTTTCTCTTAGTTCTAAAATTAATTCATGAAGTGTATATTTGAATTAGTGTAGCATGAGTATGATGATAAAACAATGAAACTTGAAGTATATCCTTCTTATAGTGTATGAACAATTCCCCAAGAATGGATAAACAAAGTAACCTTTAACAATATCAGTTGCTTGAGAGGTGTTAATCTATTTCCATTGGCAGGATGTGTTATTGGTTGCAACGTGCAACAAATTTGGGGAGACCGAAGAGGATGGAAACAAGAAAACTAGTACTTTAATTCCATTTTAAATAAACTTTAATATCAAATATCAATAGGCCTTAACAAACTATATGATATATAAGAAAGAAGGAAAAAAAAAAAAAAAAACGTTAGCCAGATGTCTCAAGTTGTGCCATTTGGAGAGATCAACGTTAACATCTCCCTCTCTCTCTACTTGTTTGTTGTTCCCACAACTGATCTACTTCAAAAAAAATCTACTCCGCAATGCATGTTCTTTATTTCAAACCGCTCCACCTCCGTTATTAGTTACTTATTACTGACTTTAAAAACCTACAAAAACAAACATCACCTTTCTCTATTTGTAACCCCTTGTTCCTTTGCACTTCAGATGTGAGCATCATGGGACAAGAATCAGATAAAACCCAGTTGGTATTGGAGGTTTGCTCCATTTCCACGCGTTCTGTTTTGTGTGTTCATACAATTGTCTCAAACCCTGATGAACCACCTTTCATAGATTGGTATTGCATTCTTGGAGTGAGTGCTTCATCCTTTTCTTTGTTATGCAATTGCAAACTTAGTACTACTACTTTTCTGTGTTCTTTTATATGATGATGATAATCTCTCCATATTGGGTTCTCATAGGTGGAAGAAAATGCAGGGCTAGTCACCATCCGCAAGCAATACCATAAACTTGGTAAGCCTAACTCGTTTTTTATGGTTTTATGCAATATGTGTTGCCCATTTCTCCTGCATAACAAGGACTGTTGATTTTGATTCAGCCTTGCAACTTCATCCGGACAAGAATAAACATCCAAAGGCTGAAATTGCATTCAAGCTTATATATGAGGTTGGTTTGTGATATACAATGTTCTTGAATGAAATGTTTAAACACTGATAGGACTTTATATCATGATTCGATCTCAAATTGTGATGTATTCGTTAACTTTTACATTACCTGCCTTACGAGTCACAGATCATAATAATTTTTCCTTAATTCATAATCTAAAAGTTTTCAGACGGATAATGTATAGAATTATTGGGAATACTTTCTTTATGAGCAGTCATTCCGGGTCTCTTCTCCACTCTTCTTATGTAGTGCTTTGTGTAGGCATATATGTGTCTGTCTGATGCTGCAAAAAGGAAAGCTTTTGACTTAAAGAGATATAAGAATTTCTGCTTTGAGTGCAATAGAATTCCATATACATCCAAAAAAGTCCCTGTCCCTGGCAATCCCAATGGCTCAAGTTTCAAGACACGGAATATCAATAGTGGGTCAAGATCTTATAAAGTTTGGAGAAATCTCAGGGAGGTGAGAGAAAGGCTGAAGGAGGAGGCTAAGGTGATAGAGAATTGTCTGCAGGTAAATTTAATGTCAAAGAAAGAATCTCCCCTCTACAATCCAGCAGACTATAGACAGGATAAAGTTGAGAGAGAAATCCCTGTTTTCAATCCAATGAAATACGTGTACCAAGGGTACCCTCATCTGAGGGGCCATGTTCACAAGAATGGTGAGACATGTTGGTACTTGCATACACAAAATATTGTGCACAACGACAAGGAGGAAGCTAAGTATGCCTCCCCGATATTTGAGGTCAGATCACAAAGTAAATTTTCTTATGACCCATCACGATTCTAGCTTGAACAATTTTAAGTCAATTGGCACAATGTGATTGACATGTCCTGGCTTCTTTAAGGTACTAATTGCATTTTCTTTGTGAATATGCATGAGCTATGGAACTGCTTAGATCCTGTGATAGACAATGTGCATTGGCTGGCATTTTTCAGCTAAGGACTAACACGTGTATGTACCTTACTATAGCATCACTCTTTGTTATGGAAATCACAAAAAATGCAGCAATGAGTGCTAGGATGCATGTGTACATTATTATCAAGGCTTTGAAAACCAATTTTTGGCCTACTGTCTAGGTGTAGAGATCCTTCACTACGGCCGTAATTTAAAACCTTGATTGTTGCTTTACATGTTTGATTATAACTTAAACCTCAATGAGATTGCACGTTATTCCTAATCTTAAAGCTTGTCTTAACTAGATCGATAAAAAAAACTATTTCTCAACACCATATATGCAGTTGCTAGTTCTCTGACTTCTGCATAAGAGAATTCAATTAAGGATTAAAGACTGCACTACAAAATCACAGTAATGCGGAAGAAATATGCGAATGAACATTTTTTCTTTGACCTGTAGTAAGATATTCAAGGGAAAAGAGGAACCATGCATTTATGATTTCCTGTGAAAATCCAAAGGATAGTAATTAACATTAGAAGAAACCTTGACCGACAGAGAAAGTAATTGGCGAATTCAGAGGAGTGCAGGACCGCAACAGCTGAACGATTAAGATGCAGCAAATACTCCCTAACTCCTATTTATACTCAAACATTTTAGTTAGTAAAATTTCCAGCCCCAATTCTATTCACTAATGGCAGCATCAAATAACTTTCTTGATGCTTATTCCATATATACATGGATCTACCTTGTCCAAAATGAATCACAAGCACTAACCTGCTAAGACTGAAAATCAAATTGATCACAAAATCAAAGCCCTTCAAACTGACAATGGCAAAGAATATCTTGCTTTCTCCAAATTTCTTCACGCTCGTATGCAATGCAAGGGGATGCAGAAACAAATAATATATTATTAATAAATAATAAATAAATATAAAAAAGTAAAATAAAATGAAAAATTAAGACGCCATATAAATTATAAATATATAAATTATAAATATATAAATAACATGAACATTTATCTGATAGAAAATTTTATAAGTTTTAGAAAATTTTATAATTTTTAGAAAATTTTATAATTTTTAGAAAATTTAAATATAATGTATTTGAATTCATTTCATTTTAAATTGTTTGGTATTTAAAATTTTTGTTTGATAAAATATCTCAAGTTTATTAAGTAATAAATTTTTACTTGTATAAAATATTTTTATTATTATAAAAAATAAAAAATTGTGTGGCAAACCCTCTCTACTTAATATTATCTACTAAAAGGAAAAGATTTTCGTGCCCTAATTTTACGTGGTTACGTTGAATGTCTTTAAAATTAAGCCTGTGGATGAAATTATGAATTTAAGATTTAAAGAATTATTTAATTAGGATTTAATTGAATTTAATAAAAAAATAATTTTTAATATGATAAATATAAAATAAATTTATTAATAATAATTTTTTATAAAAAATAATAATAAAAATTATTATCATGATTGGAAGTTAAAAAAATATTATAAATATAAAATATATTAAAAAGTATAAAATGAATAATTATTAAAATAACATAAAATATAATAACATAATTATTATTTAATATTAATGTAAAAGATAAAAGAAATAATAATTAAAATATATTATAATTTTTATAAAAAAATGATTTATTAAAATCGATCTATCCAAAATTTCATTGTGGATTTTATTAATTTTGTTCTAATTTTTTTATTTTATCTTATTTAATTAAAATTTAATTATTTAAAAATAACAAACCAAATTTGACACTAATTTCCAATTAAATCGGTTAAATTAAAATTCGTTATATTTTAAAGGTATTTTCTCATTTAAAAGAATAATATCCTAAATAATAAGTTTATTATTATAAGATAAAAATGTTATTATCCACTAATAAAATTATTGGATGATTACAAATTTTATGGATAAATTTCAAATTTTTAATAAATAAAATTTTGTTAAATTTGTTTTTATTGTAAGTAACGGATAATTTGTAGATAACTTACATTTAAACTTACATAAAAATTTTATTTTTCAATTACTAACGTATGAAATTGTTTGGTATATATCCTATGTTTTCACAGGTAACTTACCTACAAACTTTTTCATGTATGTAACTATTCAAATCATTTCACAAGTGCATTTTATTAGTAAGTCATGCCAGTATATACATGTATATATTTAAAATGTAAAATAAAACTCATCTCAACATCTTAATATTATATCTCATATATTCAACATTAAATTCAAATACCTGTACTAAAACAAAAGTACATAGTAAGTAACATAATTAAATTTAAATAACATTTTTAATAAAGAAAAGTAATTAGAAGAATTCTAATCAAGTTCAAATTTCAACACTGTGCTCTTCTTCCCCCTCGTCCCCAAAAATCATAATCATTATTGGTTAGGTTGTTTGACCTTAGAACCTTATACTTTGTATTACCTAAAATTTGGTTAATAGTAAAAAAAGTTTGGAAAAAAAATCATCAATTTAAACTCAATTAAGAAATAAATTAAATGAGAAATCAAACACTTTCTTTATCTAATTTAGGTTAACTTAGCTAACATGAAAAATAAATAGTCAAAATAAATTAAAATCCAAGTTGTCCGAAAATTTTAGAAAGCCAACTTATCCCTAAATAAATAAAATGGTGCATTGTTTTATATAAGCAATAACTTGAATTAAAATAGAAAATTTTGTAAACAACATACGCTTTAACAAATATTTAAAAAAAAAAAAATCATTGAAAGGGTTCATATAAACAATACAAGTAGTTGACAAATTTCAGGGGACATAATATACATTTAACATTGTTATTAATACAATGATAATGTGTTCAATGTAATCAATGAGGATGACTAAGTTACAATTTAACTCATATTGACTAAGAAGTAATAGGTAATAGATTAGTTGAGTGAAATTAAACTTCATAATGATTTGGAATACAATATGAAACTACTATCTTACCCAATAATACAGGACAAAATTTCACAAACATGTGAAAATACATGGAAATATCCTTCATTTCATATACAAGAAACTAATGATAACTAACAAAAGTTCTTCAATGGTTAAGATCAAACTTATCCTTAGATTCATCCAACCAAACTAAAATTTCTGGAAAGAACATAAACAAAGATAAAACTAATTGAGAAAATACCAACTGAACATTACCTTTCCATAAATGGAACTATTCTCACTTCTTCCTATCCACTAACAAGTGCAACAAAAAATGAAAATGACGAGATCATTTTATCATTATCTTAAGATTGTCTTTACTATATACTACGCAAACAAAAATAATTGAAGCAAAGGTAAGAATTTGAAGGTGACCACAACCATGAAAAGGTTGTCGGAAAGTGAGATGGTTGTGAAAGTGAGAAGTTGACCATGAGCGCAAGGAGACATCACATATGGGTAAAATAGTTCAATTTTTTTAGTGTGTTAGGAGTACCACATTGTGTAGATTGATATGAGAAAACTATTTTCTCACCAATTCTTATAATTCAATTTTTATTTTATTTTATATCAAAATAACATTTTTATAATAAAATATTTATGAATTACACTCTAAAAACTCTCCATTTAATTATATTATTAACTCTTTTGCAAATTTAAATCTAATTATTTTATAAAAAAAGTGAGAGATGACAACAAAGAAAAGAAGAATGATGAGAGATAAAATAACATTAGTATTATAAAAATATATTTTAATTGTGTAAAATAATTAATAATCATATAAAAGTATTATTCTATTTAATGCACACATTAAAATACTGTTAAACTTTTAAAAAAATTAAATAAAGTGAGATACTTTTTACTAAATATTTAATAGGTGTCATATATTTACATAAATTATTATTATTTGTTGGTTCAGTTAAAGAAGAAAAACTGAAAACGCGTGAAAGAAGTCAAATAAGTAATAATAATTTGGAAAAAGAAGAAATGAATGATGTAGTGCTTTTGACCGATGGTACCCAGATGGTCAATTTATTGTCATTCTTTTTTCCTCCTCAGCAATGCCCACATTGACAGGTCACTCTGTATAAATATGATGTCCTATATAATAGATAAATGAGAATAATTATGAAACAAAAATCACCATAAAACACATCTAAATTCTTGTGACGATATTTTCGTTTCACTACTTTGTGCACTACTGTCACAACACAGCCCTAGAAACTGCTTTTACCTTGGTCTCACAACTATTTTGCTTAAAAAAATGTCATCTTTATTCTCTTCCATTACATAAATCATAAGCAAAATACCAACATAGGTTTCTAATTGCAACCCTATCATTTGTACCAAAAATCAATTTTTTTTTTCGTGTCCAATTCCCAACCCTAGTTCTGAATTTCAACATTTTTCTCTAGTGGATTTTCTAATTCCACCACTCGGAGGAGGAAAATGGCATCTTTGACCAAAGAACTAGTGTTCCTCGTGCTTCAATTTCTTGATGAAGAGAAACTTGAAGATACCATGCATAAGTAAAACTTTTTTCCTTTTTCTTTTTGTTTCATATATGCGAAAATTTTGTTTCTTCATTTATTCTTGATGTTCTTGTGTGGCTACACACAACAAGAATTTAGTATTGTGAATTAACATTTGAAGATGTGTTTTTTTTTTTGGTGTTGTATTTGGATTCAGGTTAGAACAAGAATCAGGTTTCTTCTTCAATGTAAAGTATTTTGAGGAGAAAGTATTGGCTGGAGAGTGGGATCATGTTGAGAAATACCTCTTTGGATTTACAAAAGTTGATGATAATCGATATTCTATGATGATCTTCTTTGAGATTAGGAAGCAAAAATATCTTGAAGCTTTAGATAGGTGATTGTTGTCATTTTCTAGTATTTCTTTGTGTGTACTACATGTTAGACTATTTCTAATGTTATTAATTCTAATCTCTTTTCCATGTTTTCATTCAGGCGAGACAGAGTGAGAGCTGTTGAAATTCTTGTGAATGATTTGAAAGTCTTTCAATCATTTAACGAGTATTTGTTCAAAGAGATAACAAATCTTTTAACCCTTAATAATTTCAGGTAAATATTTTGATTTTGTTATTTTACGTGATGTTATTGATTGAGAATTCTTTTGTTTCATTTTGAATATGGACTTATTGAATGCAGGGAAAATGAGCAATTATCAAAGTACGGCGATACTACATCAGCTCGAAATATATTGCTAGTGGAGCTAAAAAGATTGATTGAAGCAAATCCTCTCTTCCGAGATAAGCTTGCATTTCCTCCATTTAAGTCATCCCGATTACGAACCTTGATTAATCAAAGGTAACACAATCATTATTTTGACAATTTTTCAATCATTAATGACTAAGATGTGTTTTCAATTTTTTTTTATCCAGTTTGAATTGGCAACATCAGATGTGCAAGAATCCAATGACAAATCCAGACATTAAATCTCTACTTATTAACCATTCTTGCTCACCTGCAAGTGGATCCAATGTACCTACTCCTGTCAACCTTCCTATGACACCAGTAGTAAATCCTTCTCCTTATGCTTCACTTGGATCGCATGTTGCGGTATGTACTTGGTTTGTGTAGATGTTTGATTTGAATATCACTTAGACTCCAACTCTTTTTTTGGGTCCTTTGTGAGTAATGTCTGTTTTATTATTATTATTATTATTTTACGAAGCTTTCGTACAAAATTAAAAATACAGAGTTTCTATTATTATTATTATTATTAGTTTTTCTTTATATATTATAATTGATACTTTCATTGATAATTATGGAAAACCTGCTTAAAGAAGCACGTTGGAGGTCAAGTACGTCTTAGCTAATGTATATTGTAATTTAGAAATTTTGATCACTAATAATCATGACAATACCATACATTTTGAATCATTGAATTCGTCTTGACGAATTGATGAAACAAAGACTGAGTTGATGTTCTCTCAAAACATCTCACCACCACAAAAAATAGGTATGATTAAGACATTGTTATAAGAAACATTAAGATGGGATTATGATGAGATTTTCATAATCAACCCTTTTAAACTAATATGGATGATATCCATTATATATTATTTGATAAATAGAGTACCTCCAAAATTTCAGAAAATGAGAAAAGAGTAGTAACATTCTTCATCTTACATAATAGAGAATTATTTAAGAAAAGATTATTAACTTCTTTGCTAAAATGTCTCAATATATAATGAACAAGCTACACAACAAAATCTGTAAGTACATTTAAGAGCTAGGAGCATGGTAGATCAGATACTTCAAGCGGGATATTACTTACTAACCTTACAGGAAAGACGTAAGGGAATTTGTTAAAAATTGTCAAGCATGTTAAAAATTTTTGGCCCAATATTTAAAGTACCTCTTGAAGAATTTCATAGTATATTGTCACCCTGACTATTAACTAAATGAGGTGTTGATATACTCCGTCAATTTTTTAATAAAGGAAGAAGTCAAATTTCTAATTGTTGTAATCAATTACTTCACCAAGTAAATCAAAGTTAAACATTTGACCTTTATTACAGCCCAACAAGTGTAGAAGTTTAGGTGGAGAAATATAATATGTAGTCATGGAATCTCATCTACAATTTTAACATACAATGCAAGACAATAAGAATGACAATTAAACTCATATCCACATGGACCGATCAGTCCCTATCCTGAGTTTGATACAAAAAAATCGAGTTAACTAGAAGTAGGGATGAGTAATACAATCCCCAACCTAACCTCATCTCTCTTTCCATCCCAACTTTATATTTAAATTTAAATTTTAAAATATTTTATTTTATTTCTCATATTATATATAAAGTTATTTTTCTATATTTTCACCGTCTTTACTTTTATTTTACCCACTTTTCATTATTTTGTCTTTTCTAATATTAGATAAATTAGTTCATTATGTTATTCTCTTTCTTTTATATTTCGCTTATTCACATTTCCTTAATCTCTTCAATCAATTTGGTTTTTTCAATCTCTTCAACCAATTTGACAAACACAAAGTTATTTTTTCTTTATATTTTTCTAAATATTCTACATTAGTCATTGCTTATATTATTTTATTTCTAATTTATCTTTATTAGATTGTATTATATCATATTTTTTTTAGATTTTATTATTCATATTTATCATATATCAAATTTTATTTTAATAAACTAATTATATTTTGAATAATTAAAACAAATTAATAATTAAAACTTTTATTACTTTTAAACTAATTAAATAAGAATTAACTTATTAAATATTTTATTGTAAACTATATATATTTCATATGAAGATTATAAAATGAGAACTTAAAAATAATTAACTTATATATGTAATCAAATATTTAAATACAATGCTATAATAATAATAATAATAATAATATAATTATTTTATATCGAGTGTATAGAAAAAATAATTAAATATTTCTTTTACATACATATTTTAATATAAACATAATAAATTAAAGTATATACTTAATTAATAATAATAATAATTTAAAATTGTAAAATTATAAATATTTATTTATGTATAAAAATTACATAAAAATATTAAAATTAATTTATTATAAATATAATTATTTTTTTAGAAATAATATAAAATGGAGATGAATAGATGATGGGAAATCCAAAACCCAACAGGACGAGATGAGAGTGAGACTTAATTTCTAACCCTAACATGGATCGGGGTGAGGGCGAAGATGGTTAAAAAAGTTGAGGTGTAAGGGAGGTAAAACCTCCTCTGTCTTGTCTCGTTGCCATGCCTAGAAGACAATTTACTAAGAAAAGTCTAAAAAAAATCTAAAAAGAGTTAAATAGTAAAGCACTTAGTCACATTAGTCGAACATTTGGGTATGTATTACGAGTGTATTAGAGTTAGAGTTTAGTTTTTTCTCATGAATATGCTTGTTCTTATTTATTAAAGTTTAATCAGGTGCAAAAATGGAGAGATATCTAACTTAATATTATAAAACTGGCTTGTACAGTGAGGTTTATACATCATCTAGCAATATTATTGTATATCTAGTTGATGTGAGATTTCAAACCACTTCACCTTGACGGGGATTTTTAACACACCCACTTACATTGAGAGATATTTTTTCATCACATCCCTCACATCGAGAGGGATTTTCAGTAGTCTTAATATTGCTAGAGCCGACTTTAATGCCTTGTTAACAATTGAGAGATACCTAACTCAACCCTACAAAATTGACTTGTAAGGTGAGATTTGTATCTCATCTATATACTATAATGTTATTGTATCTCTAATCAATGTAAAATTTCATCACACTCCCTTACTTTGAAAGGGATTTCATCACACCTCCTCACTTGAAGTTAGATTACATCACATACCCTTATCTCGAGGGGAATTTTATCACACATATTCACATTACTAGAGTTGACCCTAATATCATATTAGAAATGGAGAGATGTCTAACTTAACCCTACAAAATTAGCTTGTAAGGGGAGGTTTATATTTCATTTCATCTCATCTAGATACTATAATGTTATTGTATCTATAGTCAATATGGGATTTTTTTATCACACTAAAAAAAATTGAGGGGGTGAGAGGAAGTACGTTGAAATCTTGTATCATCTAGAAATATGATAATATTTCAGTATATAGGTGAGATACAAATGTCACCTTACAAGTTGATTTTATAGGGTTGAGTTAGGTACCTCTCAAGTTTTATAAATTAGAACCAGACTATCTTATATAATTTTGATCATATTGAGGTCTCAAATGACTAATAACATCATTTAATTAAAAGGTTCTCCATAATTGGTATCCTGCAATTTTAGGGTTCTATCAATGGTATCATGATTCAAACATTTCATTTGATAGTCACAATTTTGTTAACTTTCTTCAAACAAGAATTGTACATTATTTAAAACTTCTTATCTAGTCAATTCCTACTTTTGGGTATTGGTTGAGAATGAGAATGCTTTGGTTGTTGAGTGATTGGTAAAAGAATTAGAAGTAAAGGTTTAGTGAGATTCTTTGGTTCTTTTTTTGTACTTGTTACCTTGCGTGGTGAAAACTTCTTTAACTAGTCCTACATAATTTCATCAATTAAGAACAATGAAATAGACTTTGGTTATCTATTGTTATCCCTTCAAGATTTTGCTACACACTTACAAAGTTTTTGCTATCCCTTTAAGATTACCCATTTTCATTCACATGACCATGTTGTTACTTTGCTTTTAGGAACTAGACTTGTGAAGGTAATAACCTTTATAACTAGAAACAACATATTGAAATTATGATGTGTGACATGCCAAAAGAAAGATCATAACACTAGGTACAAATACTTTTCCCTCCTTATCATCCAAGTAAAGAAAGAAGGATGATTTCCAGGGCTTTAATGTCATTATCATAAAACAATTCTCATTCCAATTGTTGATGAGCTTATTGGTGATTTGTTTGAAGGATGACACTAGGAGATTTTGTATTAATTATCAAGCTTTAAATATCATTGTCATAAATGACAGTTTCTGTTAGGTATTAGAAAAAAGCATAAGCACACACAATTAAAATAAAAAGATGAGAAAAACACTGACAATAGGCAAAAGAGTAATTCCATTAATGAAAGAAATTACAACCTTTCTCTCTCTACCTCCAAGGAGGAAATAATAATACCTTCTCCTGAAAATAAAGGAAAAACAACTCTAAGAGAATCTAAAAGGAGAAACTAATTTTCTCTCTTAATTTATCTCTCAAGTACTAAAGCAGTAAGAGAAAGAAAATGAAGTGACTTTGGTGTGTTTTATAAGGTAATCATTGTACTCCTTTTATAACAAGAAAAGTAAGTACCAAAATAAGATTTGTTTGATGTGGGACTTCTCTTCTCACAATCTCACACTTGAAGATTTTGATTAAAATTAATCAAATCTTCACATTATGTTTGTTTTATTCTTGTCATCCATGTTGCTTATTTTTTCGTTCGGCAATAGTAGGATCGACTCCATACAAACTTGTCAACACTAACCGACGTTGTCATAACATCTGCTAGGTTCTCATCCATGTGAATATTTTGCATATCCACACTACCCTTTTTCACTACTTCCCAAACAAAATGATATCTTATTCCTATGTGTTTTGTCCTAGAATGAAAGGTTGGATTCCTTGAAATGTGCAAGGCACTCTGAATGTCACATTACACAACAATTTGTTATTGCTTGTGTCCGAGTTCCTCCATTATCTTCCTAATCCAAATAGCTTCCTTACATGCCTGGGTGACTGCCATGTACTCAGCTACTGTGGTAGACAGAGTTACAACATCTTGTAACTTGGATAACCAACTTACTTCCCCTCTTGCAATTGTAAACACATAACTAGTAGTAGATCTCCTTTTATCCAGATCACTTGCAAAATCTAAATCAGCATAGCCTTTGACAATTAGTTCTGATCCTCCATAACATAATGCAACACCTGAGGTTCTTTTGATGTATCTAAGGATCCTCTCTATAGCACTCTAATGCTCTCCACAGGATTTCCCATAAATCTACTAACTATTCTTACTGCTTGTGCAATGTTTGGTCTTGTACAAATCATGACATATATAAGACTTCCCATTGTTGATGAATATGGTACTCGAGACATTTTCATTGTCTTCGCTTTATTGTTGTGACTCATACTTGAGGATAACTTACAATTGATAGGAAGTGGGGTGGAAATTAGCTTGTAATCTTGCATATTGAAGCACCACAAGATTTTTAGTAAGTAATTCTTTTGAGAAAACCAAACCTTCCTATCTTTTCTGTCTTTGTGAATTTGCATCCCTAAAATCTTGTTTGTTGGTCCCAAGTCCTTCATGTCAAACTCCCCAGTCAATTGTGCCTTTGATTCTTAGATTCGATCTGTTTTGGGGCCTACTACCAACATATCATCCACATATAACAATAAGATAACAAAATCATTATCACCAAACCTATTGTAATATGTACAATGGTTTGTGCTCAGTCTATTGTAACCAAGGCAAATAATGAAGCAATCAAATATCTTATACCAACATCTGGGCGCCTACTTTAGACCGTATAGAGATTTGGTCAACCTGCAAACCAAATTTTCTTATTCTTTAAAGCGTTTTGGTTGAAGCATATAAATTTCCTCTTCAAGATCTCCATGAAGAAAAGCAGTCTTTATATCCAATTATTCAAAATGTAAATCAAATGCAGCACACATAGTCAAGACAACTCTGATGAACGTCAATCTGACAACCAGCGAGAATATCTCATTAAAATCAATACAATTTTTCTGAGCATATCCCTTTATCACCAATCTAGCACGATATCTTTCTACTTGATCATTATCATCTCTCTTGATCTTATAAACCCATTTGCAACCAATGACTTTTCGACCTTTCGGAAGTTCCACAAGATTCCATGTCTTATTTTTATGAAGAGCCTCAATTTCTTCCTGCATTGCAGACATCCATAGAGAAACATCTGAACAACTCATAGCCTCTTGAAAAGTTGAAGGTTCTCCTTTTTCATTTAGAAGAGAATATGCATCATGAATTGCCATCACATATTGTGAATGCCAAGATGGTCTGACTTTTTCTCGTGTTGATCGCTGGAGATCTTCATTACCAATCTCATTTGACTCTTGATCTTCGTGCTCCTCTTATAACTCAGACGATTCATTCAAAGACTTATTCTCTATTTGTACTATAACATTGTCCTTTATTAAGCTGTCATTTGCATGCTCACTTTGCAGTTCGTTTTCTACAAAGACTACATCTCTGCTAACAACAACCTTGTGGGAAGTGGGATCCCACAGGTGATACCCTTTCACATTGTTAGCATAGCCCAAGAAGATATATTTCCTGAATTTTGGATTCAATTTTGTTCTTTCTTGAGTATTACACATCACATACACAAGATAACTAAAAATACGTAAGGATGAATAATCAGTTGGTTTACCTTTCCATAACTCCATTGGTGTGCTCAAACCAATGGCGGTTAACGGTGACCGATTTATAATATAATAGACAGTTTTAACCGCTTCTACCCAAAAAGACTTGGCTACTCCAGTTGTTCACAACATAGCTCTAGTTCTTTCCAAGAGTTTTGTTCTATTTATCCACTCTACTACACCATTTTGCTGAGGCGTATGTGGGACAGAAAGTTGTCTGATGATACTTCTTGCTTGCAAAATGCTAAAAATTTTATGTCTACATATTCTCCTTCATTATCTGTCCTTAAGCACTTAATTCTTTTCCCAGTTTCAAGTTCTACTTATATTTTGAATTCCTTGAACTGTGAAAACATATCTGACTTCTTCTTGATAGGGTACACCCACAATCTCCTGAAGTAATAATCGATGAACGATACAAAATATTTTGCTCCTCCGAGGGATAGTACCGGCGATTCCCACACATCAGGATGAATCAAGTTCAATATGTGTTTACTTTTAGTAGTCACTCTAACAAACTTCACTCTAACAAACTTCAATCTATGTTACTTGTTTGTCACACAATGCTCGCAAAAGGCTAAACTAACCTCTTTAAACTCGGGTAAGAGATTACGTTCTGCAAGGATTTTCAGGCCATTTTCTGACATATGACCAAGTCTATGATGTCACATGATCATTGCATCTTTCTGACTTGTTGTTGCAACTAATGCACCCGCTTCTTGCAACATATCTCCAAGCAGCACATACAAATTTGCCATGATCTTCTTTGCCTTTATGACCACCAAACTTCCCTTCACCACCTTTAAGATTTCACCTTCAACATGAATCTTACACTTGAGGTCATTTAATTGCCCAATGAACAATAGATTCTTCTTCAAGTCCTTCACATGTCGTACCCCTTGAATTGTGCAAACACTACCATCATATATTTTAATTTTGATGGTACCAACTCCAGTAATCTCCAATGCATGGTTGTTTTCCATGAAGACGGATTCACCTGAGAATAGTTCATAAGTGTGAAACCAATATCGGTGCGGAGTCATGTGTCATATTGCACCTGAATCCACTATCCACTTATCATGAAACTTCTTTTCACCATTAGAGCTAATTACTACTTCACTTACTAGAATATCTTCATCTTTCGAGGTACTTACAACACAACCTTGTGAGGTTGATTCTTCAAAGTTGTTTCCTCCATTCTTTCTCTTCCAACACTCTTTTCTCGTATGTCCTTTCTTTCTACTAAAGTAACATTTGATTTTAGAACTTTTCTTACTTCGAGACCTCAATCTATCATTACTCAAGCCACGTTCCGTTAATCTTCCTCTCATCATCGTCAAAGCCTCTACTTGTTTGAAATTTTCGCCCTTACTCATCCGTCTGGATTCTTCTTCAAGAATAGCTTGGCGACATCCTCAAAGTGCATATTCCCACCAATATTATTATTTGTAATATTGATGATGAGTTGATTATACGAATCAGGTAAACTCTGAAGTAAAAGTTATGCATGTTCATTTTCAACTATGTTTAAATCTGTCATTGATAGTTGGACAAATAAGGTATTCAAATGGTTGATGTGGTCCGTCACTGATGTGGACTCAAGCATCCAAAGATTATAGAGTTTTCTCTTCAAGAATATTCTTGTATGAAGTGACTTCACCTCATATAATTTAATGAGGGTATCCTAAATCTCATTCGCAGAAGTCTTCTCCACAACACTGGACAAAATCGAATCTGTCATTGATAAGTGCAAATTCGTAATAACATTGTCAATCATTTCTCTCCACCGTCATTCATCGTCGTTCAAAGCTTAACCCATATAAAGGCCACCAAATTCAATCTTATATACCATTGCCTATCACTCATTCTATTTATGATTCAACAATTCAACCTCTCTTAGTACTACAATCAAGGTGATTCTTCATGGTCAAAAACAAATTCAATAACATCTAGTTTCATGGGAAGGAGTTGACATATCACACACAATTTGGGAATACTGAAATATTGAGAAACTTCTACAAAAGCTTAAGCGCAAAGTTGATTTTAAAGGAGAGGAATTGTCATGAATAAAAATAGAAATAGAAATAGAAATTCAATAAAGATAAAAGAAAAAACTCAAAGTGGCAAAAAAACAATAAGTTATAGATGAATAAAGATGATAACAAATTCAAAAGAGAAAAGAGAGAAAAATAAGTTAATATATTTACGAAGCTAAAAATTTATAGAGATATTTAACTTTTTTATTATAAGAGAGGTGGTATAAATAAATAATCTTTTTTTTTTAATTCTTCTTTATGAATAATTTCGATTTATTAACGTTATCTTTGTATTACTACTACGTGTTCGTATGATATAGTAGCTTTCACTAAATGTTTATACAAATACAAATTTTCTTTACTGTTAATGTATTTCTCTATATTTAAAATGTTTCAATATTTTCTTATTATTTAATTTTGTGCAGCAATTCACATCATCCCCACCGCTTCTAATGTCAATGCTTTAGCGAGGTGGGCAGTGAATGCGAATGCTTCCACCTCTTCCCAATTACCTTCCCAATCACCTGTAGGTGCTACTTCCGGTCCCCAAAATCAAGGTATAGTTGGGAATAATTCAATTCTCATTTTCATAAACAAATTTTGTAAATTATTTGTTGTCGATTGTTACGCATTTATCTACATGATTATTTATTTACATGATTAATTCTTGCAATGTTTATTTGAATGAATGTTCTATGGCTAACAAATAATTTTTTAAAATGGTATATTATTATTATCTTATACATGAGATAAGAATTATATTTGGACCATATTTGCACGTGTAATTTTTATTTTTTTAAATCTTTATATTAATTTTCAAAATTAAAATAATAACTATTTAGAATGATAATATTAACTGTAAAAAGATATATGCAAACTAATATTAAATCTATTATTTTCCATTTAATTTTATTTAAGAAGACTTTCCAGTAAAATTAAATATTTCTTTTCAACTAATTTAGATTGGTCATAGACCGATCTATTTCTTCAAACTAAGAATTTCTTTCATCCTTCGTCCCAATCAGTTTCTTGCAATTTTTAAACAACATTATAGACAATGACTTTGTGAAGATATTAACAACTTAATCTCGATTCATCATATGCACAAGCTTCACGTTTCCTTCTTTCACATGTTCTCAAATGAAATAAAATCGCACATCAATATGCTTATTTCTCTCATGGTTGATCAGGTTCTTTGCCAGTTCTATAACCGACTTGTTATCAACTCAAATCACTGTCACATTGAGTTGCTTCTTCTTTAACGAGCTCAGCAAATTCCTGAGCCACACTATGTGGTGCACATGCCACGATGTTGTTATGTACTCAAGCTTCACACGTTGATAATGTCATTATGGGTTGTTTCTTTGAAAGACAAGTAAATGTTGTGTTCCCCATAAAATACATATCCTGATGTACTTTTCTAATTATCCACATCTCTACACCAATCACTATTCGAGTACCCAACGAGTCAGTAATTATTCGACCTTGTATAAAATAGTTTGAGTGACATTATACCTCGTATATACCTTATTATTCACTTCAGCGTCTTTCAATGAGAATAACTCAGATCTTCCATAAATCAATTAACAATTCCAATGCTCAACAATAAGTCGAGTCTTGTGCTTGTAAGGAAGGCTTCGCACTAAGCTCCGAGATTTGCTTGGATTAATTTGGTCTCCTCCATCAAACTTTAAAAGTTTCGTTCTTGGTTCCATGGGGGTTGAGATCATATTACAATCGATCATCTTGAACTTAATCAAAATTTTCTTTGCATACGCCTCTTGTGGTACAAATATCCTTGACCCCTTTTATCTAACCTCCAAACTAAGAAAGAACTTTATCATACCCAAATTGGTCATCTCAAATTCAATCGTCATTGTGCTCTTAAACTCTTAAATAATTCTAGAATTATTTATCATAAAAATGACATCAACATATAAAACAACAAATATCACATCATCTCCACTCTTCTTCACATAGAAGGCATGTTCATAAGGGCACTATACAAACTCATTCTCTTTAATATAAGTGTCTATCTGATTATTCCATGCATGAGAAGTTTTCTTTAGCTCATAAAGAGCCTTTTTCAACCACAAAACTTTCACCTCCTCTCCTTTTTTCACATATCTAGTTGGTTGCTCAATATACACCTTCTCCCTGAGCACACCATTAAGAAATGTATCCATCTACATGATTGACCATTTGTACTGTGCTACCAGAGAAATTAACAGCCGAATAGTCTCCATCCTCACAACCGGGAAAAATACCTCATCATAGTTTATTCCTTCTTTCTACTTGTATCCTTTTACAATAAACTAAGATTTATTTTATCTCTCCTTGCATTCATCTTTTTCTTAAATATTCACTTTACACCAATTGGTTGTGAGTGGTCGACAATTCAGTCATCATCCATGTGTCATTTTGTTCTATTACTCGAATCTCATTATCCATAATAGCTCGCCACTTCTCATCACGTAATGCTTCCTCAAATCTTATGTTCATAGAATTTTTCAAAAGATGCACAACATGTACCTCATTCGTCGAGTTGTACAAGTCTTGTAGACTTTGCATTCTGGTTGTGGTTCTTCTTCCTCCTCAGTTTTTGAATTGGCTATAACTGGTGGTGTAATAACTCGACTTTTAATATCCTACAATGAGTCTCCCTCTCCCTGGTTCCACTCACTTGTTTCATCAATTTGGACATCATAATTTCAACCACCCTCTTGTTGATCGGATCTATCAGCTTATAAGCTTTTGTCTTTTCATCATATCCACTAAAGACATACTTCTTGCTCCTATCTTCAAGCTTCGTCCTTTATTGAGAGGACATTACTCCGAAAGCAATACTTCTAAACACTATAAGATAAGACACAATCAGTTTTTGACTGCTACATGCCCATGCCTCTTGCTATGTTCATCATCCAAATTTGCATGTGGACATCTATTTTGTACATAGATGGCACATTGCATTGCTTTTGCCAATAACTCCTTTGGAATATTCTTGGTCTTCAACGTTGATCGAACCATATCAACAGTTTAGTTCTTCCTCTAAGCCACACCATTTTGTTGTGGGGATTACAAGCGTTGTCAGAAATCTCTTTATACCTCGTCTTCATATTATTTCGTGAAGATTGCCGATGCAAATCGTCTGCCTCTATTAGATTGGATTGACCTAATATGTCTCCCAATCATCTTTTCTACCATTATCTTGAACTTTTTGAATAACTCAAACACCGCATATTTCTCTCTTAGAAAGTATACATACGTCTTTCTAGAGAAATCATCAACAAAATTAATAAAATATCTCTTATGACTGATGATTCAGGGGTAATCAGTCCACATAGATCAATATGAATCAATCTAAGTTTCTCATTTGCTCTAAACTCGATATTTTTCTGAAATAGGGTCCTCACCTATTTACCAAGCACATATTCTTCGCAAAATATCCCCTCACACTCCATGCGCGGCAATCCGAGCGCCATACACTTCTTCGACAGTTCGACTAGATCACTAAAATTCAAGTGACCAAATCGATGATGTCATGTCAACATTATGTCCTCTGTTAAGTTTTAGACATCTCTCTTGAATGTTTTTCAATTGCAACTTGTACATCCTATTCTTCCCCATATCAATTGGGGCGATCAGCCTCTCGTGCTCATCCTTGAATTGTAGTACTTGTTCTTTCATGAATACCGAGTATCCTCTTTCCATTAATTGTCCTATACTCAAAATGTTACTTTGAGATCAGGTACATAGTACACATCTTGGATAGACCCAATTAGCCCATCCCTCTGCAAGTAGCGGATCAAACATCGTCCTTTTATTGAGACCTTTAAGGTAATCTCCAAACAACATACTTTTAGGTTCTGCATTCTTTAGTTCTTTAAAGAGATGTTATTCCCCACACATATGGTTACTTGCATCCTGTTTAAATACCATATCGAATGGTGATCAGTATCTTCCCGAACTCCATTACTTTTATTTGTTAAGTTAAGATTGACCATCAGAACTATTGCTTCTATCTCTATGAGATAGGTTTCTTCCACCTTTTTCTCAGCTCAACATTCTTTCGCAAAATGTCTTACCTTACCAAAATTGTAACACTTGTCTATGTAACAATCCTTTGCATAGTGACCATATTTGTCATACTTAAAACACTCGACATTTGAGTGACTCATCGACCGACCTCCTCTCCGATCACGTCCTCTATCACGCCAATTTTACGTGTTTCCTTCTTTCTATTCATGACTTATACCACCTCGGCATCGACTATTACGTCCTCACCCTATACATTGAGTGTTATGAGAGTAGAGAGCTTCCTCACCTGTCTCACTCTAGAGTGCTTAAATCGTTGTTTCCTCCTTATTTTTCTTCTTCCGATGGTCATTGCTTTAAGGGAACCAACCAACTCTTGTACCATCAACTCGGACGAGACTTTTGATTACTCTATCGTGCACACTACATACTCAAAGTGATCGGTTAGCGATCTTAAGACCTTCTCCACAATACGATCTTTAGAGAATGCCTCTCCATTCCGATCAAGCTAATTTGCCACAGTTTCAACATGTATGACGTATTCGAAAACTCCTTCTGACTCTTTCATTTTCATGTTCTCCATCTCCCTATGTAGTGTTTGTAGCCGAACTCGTTTGACTCGATCATCGTCCTTATAAATTCTCTCCAATGCATTTCACACTTCTTTTGAAGTTTTATCATTTGTTATCTTCTCAAAAATAGATTCATCAACAATTCGGTATAACATGTAGAATGTTACATTATCCTTCTCACACTTCTCTTTCAACGCTTTGTGTTGCGATTAATGAAATTTCTTTAGTGCTTCTTGATTCTTCAAAACCATCATCGACTATCTCTCAATTACTTTGAGATTTTAGAGGAACCTTTATCTATAGACTCCAATTATCATACTTGATTGCTAGATAGAACCACATTATTTGTTAAACTGATCAACACTTTTCTCAAGCTCTCTCACACTCAAATAATCAAATCCTAACTCTTGATATCAATTTGATAACAACTAATTTTTGAAAAAGAGTATAAATAAGAATTATATTTAGGCATTTAAATACTATAATTTTAAAATTTTGAAATCATAACATTAACTCCCATAATAAAAAATAATAACTATCTATAATCGTAATATTAATTGCCCAATCAAAATATTTTAATTAATATTTAAATTTATTATTTTTCATTTAATTTTATGTACAGTAGTGCTGGATGGTCTAAACAATGATCAGGAGCAACTGATGAAACAGTTGCGAGCTACACAACCTGCAGTGGAGGTATTTAAAAAGCCTAACATGTTTTCAGATGTAATTAAATTTCCGTACTATACTATCTAACTTTGATATTCTATGTAGGTTACACACCATGCTCCACCGGAACAAGCATCTGGCTTAGATGATCTTCCTAGAATTGTTGTTTATGCATTACAACTGGGTTCATCAATAACAAGCATGGATTTTCATCCTGTTCATCATTCACTACTCCTTGGTAGGTTGAAATAAATAATTTCGTTTCTTGTATTATGAAGAAATTCAATCCTATACTGACTCTGAAAAATGATTTCTGAAACAGTTGGATGTGCAAACGGTGAAATTTCACTTTGGGAAGCAGGGCAGCGAGAAAGACTTATATCAAAACCTTTCAAAATATGGAATATTACTAGTTGCTCTGTCTTATTTCAGGTTTACATTACATTATTTAACGGTTTATGAATTATGGCTCTTCAAATATTTTCTTTCAAAAAATAATGTACCTGTCTATTATGAATTATTCACCTTGCATTTTATTTCAATCACTGTACTCAAATAGCATAGCAAGTTCATTTTTCGATTAAGGAAGAATACTTAGATGATAACTTAGTAAAATATAACATTAAACTAAATATAAATAATACATTAATACACTTAATTATGTTTAAATTGTATGAAGTGTAATGAAATGATACAAAGTTCTCATTATTTTTTGGGTATTCATTAGATTAGTGACCCAACAACCCAATCTAATCCAAGTATATTGGGTTGAATTTTGTCTCCGATGGATCAAATATGACCCAATCCAACTCATTTGATTAAAATTATTAAGTAATTTTAACATTAATAATAATAGTAGTATATTATTATTTAATTTATTCAATTATTATATTAACTAAATATGTATTTTTAAACTATTAGATTAATAAATTATTCAAGTTTAGCAAATTTATTCATTTTTTTTAATTTGTGACTAATTAACTTAATTCAATCCTATTAAGTTGAATTGAATTAAATCCATCCAACCTAATTCAATCAAAGGGGTTGAATTAAATTAAGTCAATCCAACCTAATTCAAGATTTTTTTTACTTCCGTTAGGTGATAACTTTGATGAAAATCATTCCCAACCAATCTAAATACATGTCCACCTTATTTTTTCTACCATTAAAAATAGGATATAATATGACTTGTGGAATGCATCCAAATCCATTACCGGCTTTCTCTTGCATCCCTCTCATATGTGGTGACTAAGGATCGGGGGAAGAATTATTTTATTTTTCCTACTCCATCATACAAATATCAAAGCTATGAAATGCTAACATTATTTGGTTATATTTAACTATTTTCCATCACATTACATTTCACTACTTTTTCTTTTTCTTATTTCACTTCTCTCACCGTTAAATATGTAGACATGAACTATTAGTATTAAAAAATAAAAAAAGGAAAGCAAAGATAGTAGGATGGGGATGCTTAAATTCTTTAGATTATGAATTCATAAGTCATCGAATTGCTACCCAACTAAATTTTGAATTTGCGTAGGTGGTCATTTCTTATAACACAAGATATGGTCTTGTTGAATGTAGCAATACACATATGTACAAAAGATAAAATTGAATAATATCTTATTTCATTTCATTATTATCTTGTTATATGAGTTTATATATATAACAAGTGCTAAAATAAAACAAAACTTAAAAATAGTAACTAACAAGCCAACTTTAACTTTATCTCTATTTACACATATAATCTCAATTAACTCTCTTATATCTATAAACTTTTCAACCTTTAATGCTTTTGTAAGTATATCAACAAGTTGTACTTTAGACCTGCAGTGCTCTATTTCCAACTTGTCATTACTGACTTGTCTCGATGTGTTTACTTCTTCCATGAGAAGCGGAGTGTCTTGTTAGGTCAATTGTTGATTTGTTGTCCACAAGTAGCTTTATCTTACATAGATGTTCCACCTTTAATTCATGCATCAATGATCCTAACCATTGTTTGGCAAGTTACGAATTATTCAACTTCACATGATGGTAGAGCCATTACTGGTTCTTTTGTAGAGCTCCATGAGATTGGTGATCACAAAAGAAAATGTACCCTGTAGTGCTCTTCCTGTCACTTTTTTCTCCACACCAATATGAATATGAATATCTAATTACTTCTAGTCTAGCATCAAACATTCCTTTTAGAAATAGAATCTCGAAACTAGTTGTGCCTTGTAGTTATCTTAGATCCTTTTTGTAGCAAGCATATGCCAATGTTTTGGGTCCTACATATACCTGCTAATCAATCCTACACTGAAGCTCAAGTTAGTTCTTGTATTGCAAGTACCTCAATTTTCTAATGCTTTCGATTGAGGGTAGGGTCCACTGATTCTTTATTTGTTTCCTTTTTCAATTTTAGTCCGACTTCAACCAGTTTGCTTGCTAAATTGTTTTGCTACATGTTGAATATGCTTGGAATGATGTATGATAATACCATATCATCAGGATTGAAGTTCAATACGAGAAAGACAAAATTAGGAGGAATAAGGGTGGAGTCTGTATTACTGGAAAACTTTGCACGGGAATTAGGATGTAAGACAATGTTATTGCTATTTAGATATCTGGGGTTGAAAGTTGGAGGGAACCATAAAAGGCATGAGTTTTGGGATGACGTCATAAGTAAAGTAAAGAAAAGACTCTCTAGGTGGAGAGGGCGTATGCTCTCCTTTGCTGGGAGGGTATGTTTGGTGAAATCGGTTCTTTCGGCGGTACCACTGTTTTATGTATCCATGTTCCAAATGCCTGTTAGAGTGATAAAAGAGATAACAAAACTTCAAAGGGAGTTTGTGTGGGGCTGGGGCAAAGAAGGGAAAAAGATAGCATGGATAAAATGGCAAAAAATATGTAGAAGAAAGGAAGAGGGTGGGTTAGGGGTGAAGAACATTCAGAAGATGAACGGGTCCCTGCTAGCAAAATGAAAATGGAGGTTAGGTGTCGAGTCAAAAGGATTATGGAAGGAAGTAATAGAATCCAAATACGGGTCCTGGAGAGCCTTAGTCGAACCGAAAAACATTAATATGGATTCAAAATGGTGGTTAGATATAAAAAGAATATGTAAAGATAATGTTGGTAGAGCTTGGTTTGATAAACATGTAACATGGAAAATAGGAAATGGGGAGAAAATCAGGTTTTGGGATGATGTGTGGATTGGGGAACAGAGTTTAGGTCGCTTGTATCCAAGGTTAAAACAAATAGGATTGAACAAAAATGGGGTGCTATCAAAACATGGTATGTGGATGGAAAATAGATGGGAATGGAGAGTAAGTTGGAGAAGACAACGTTTCAAATAGGAGAAGGAAATGGAGGAGGAAATGTTAAGTAAAATTCAGGGCGTAACACTTAATAGGGATACAGAAGATACGTGATTGTGGGGATCGAATAAAAATGAAAGGTATATTGTAAAAGAAGCGTATGAGATTCTAAATGAAGAAACTTGCAATGAGAATGAATCAATCTTCAAATAGTACTGGAAAATTAAAGCGATACCAAAAGTCATGGTTTTAGGGTGGAGATTTCTTCAGGATAGGATCCCTACTAAGGTAAATTTAGCTAGGAGAGGGGTTGATATAGGTAACCCAAAATGCGCTTTGTGTGGAAGTGAGGACGAAACATCCAATCATCTCTTTTTCACGTGCAAGATGACCAGTGAGATCTGGGAAAAATGCTTTAGATGGGTGTGAATCAGCTTTGTTAGCCACTGTGAGGCGAAAGCAAGCCTGGAAAACTTTGTATTAGGTGGATTGGGAGCAAAGGGAAACATGTTGTGGAAAAGACTATGGGTAGCAGTGATATATGAAATTTGGTCTCAAAGGAATAAATGTATTTTTAAAAATGATAAATTTGATGCGGAAGTAGGATTTAGTAATGCGAGTGCAAATTTCACTGCTTGTTGCGCTAGAGACTGGGATGGAGCGTGTCTAGCAAACTCTGATTGGTTCTATGAACTGGTAAGGTGTATGAGACTAATTACCCTTTAGCTTCTCTTTTGTCTGTGTTGGCTAGTATATGTCTTTTCAGGTTAAAGTGTGTAATCATGCCACAATGATGAGAACTCATATAAGAAGACGGTGAGTGGGAGTATCCGAGAGCTAAGACTTTTTTCTTAACCTTGTTGTAAGCTTTGTTAGTGTTAACATTTTACTCGAAGCTAGTTCCTTTAGACACCGCTGGGGTAATTGAACCTGTATTCTTGAGCTTTCGTCCTTGTGACCCAGTAGGGTGTGTTTTATTTTCGTTCAACTAGCTTCTTTTAGTTGTATTTGGGTTGAAGTACCCCCTTGTACTTCTATTAATTTTATTCTTTGTTGCCGATAAAAAAAAAATATCATTTTAAACTTAATTCCCAAGAAGTAGTTCAACTGTCCTAGAATACTCATTTCAAACTCATTCAATATTTTATATGATTAAAAGTTCATCGACATATAGACATACAATTACCTTTTCTATCTTCACATTCTTATGCTAGCATTTCACATAAACTCCATGTTCAGAGAGGCATTTCTCAAAATCAATTTGACTTAGAAAATTGTCAATTCTTCGATTCCAAATCCTTGGAGCTTACTTGAGCTTATACAAGGCATTCTTGAGTTTATACACTTTGTGTTCTTAGTCTTTAAACTCAAATCCTTATGACTGTTGTGAATACACTTTCTTGTTTAAGAGCCCCTTCTCATACGTGGATAGAGACTGTTGTTGCTTGTTTAAGCATTTACTTATATAAGCAATTGGATGTTGATTCTGCATCAAAATAGCACCTAATCCTTGTCCAGATGCATCCACCTCAACTACAAATTGTTGAGAAAAATCAGGCATCGCTAAAACTGGTGCATGAACCAGATGTTGTTTAAGCTGTTGAAATGCTTCCTTTGCTTGAGGAGTCCAAGAGAAATTATTCTTCAACATTTCTATCAATGGCCTAGCAATAGTGCCATACTTGTAAACAAATCTTCTATAGTAACTAACTAGGCCCAAAAAACTTCTCATCTGCTTCAAGGTTTGAGGGAGAGGCCATTGTTGCATAGCTTAAACCTTTGCAGGATCTGTAGCAATACCATCTTTATAAAGGAAATGACTCAAATACTCTACTCTATCCACACTAAAGTAACACTTAGATTGTTTGACAAATAAGTTGTGGTTCTTTATTGTCTCCAAAACCTATTGAAGATGACTGATATGATCAGGGAGAGTTTTGTTGTATATTAGGA